ATAGAGATCTACCTACCTCTGCCTCCTGAGTGCTGGGATTAAAGGTGTGCGTCACCACACCTGGCTAAGGTACTTTTTTTGAGAAGCATGAGTTCTAGTCAGGTATCAAGTACAAAAGTTACCTGAAGAACACCATGGTGAGAAAGAGTAAGAAAGACACTTACCTTTTTTGAGGGCAGTTTCCTCAATCCTCTCCAAGTAATATATATTGAGCAGAGGTAAGATGCTTTGAAGTATTGGGCCTGGGAGAGCTACAAAAACCAAAAGACAAAGTTTACTATCTTAAGGCAGCTGGAATTCAGGGGAAAGGATGAGTTAAACAAACTGTCCTGCTCTCTGAGGTCAGTATACTTCTGCAAGAAGCACTAGGCCCTGAGTATACTCTGAGCTAATACCTTCCTATGAAAACTAAAGTTAATTTTTGTTCTCTAAACTCATTATACCTTATAAACAAAAACCAGTTTTTCCCTGTATTCAGGAAGTGGAGGTGGGAGGATCAGGAATTCAAGGCTAGGCCTGACTATGAAAGTTTCCCTATTATAGTCTTTTGGATTGCCTTTACTTATTCTCCCCCCTTGGCCTCATTACAAAAGCAGTGTTAATCTTAAAAGAAAGATTAAATAATTTGTCTAATACACAACTAACTGTATGAGTCAGAATTTGTCCAACTCTAGATATAAAGTCCTTTAGTTTATTATACCCCCTCTTAGAACTAGAGAAGTTGGAAAGAACTGATAATTGTTTTGTTTGAGTCAAAATCTTATTCCAGCATTTGGGAGGCTGAAGCAGGAAGGTTATTGCAAGTTCAAGCTAGCCCGAGCTCTATATGACTACCAAGCCAGCCAGGGACCACACAGAAAAACCCTGACTCAATAAAACAAAATAGGGGTATGTGTATTGAGGGAGTTGTGTGAAGACAGAATAGATAGAAATGGCTACCTCATGACATTAAAGATCATGCTTGCAATTTGTTTAACACAATAGCTGTCCATTATAAGATCAGTGAATACTGGCTATTATTATGTTTATTCTGACAACAGCATCTGTGTTCTACTAAGCTTAAGATTTTGTAGTCTATTAAACCTTCCATTCCTTGATCTACTTAAAAAAAAAATCTGTCTTTAAATGATGTGTATATGTGGAGGCTGGAGAGGTGGCTCAGAGGTTCTTCCAGAGGTCCTGAGTTCAATTCCCAGCAACCACATGGTGGCTCACAACCATCTGTAATGAGATATGGTGCCCTCTTCTGGCCTGCAGGCATATGTTATATACATAATAAATAAATAAATCTTTAAAAAAAATGATGTGTATATGTTTGCATTTATATGAAGGTATGTGCAGGTCAGTGCAGGCACCTGCAAAGGCCAAAAGGTTGGATCTATGGGAGTTCTGATCTGACACAGGTGCTAGGAACATGAACTCTTGTATAAAAGGGGTACTCTATTACCACTGCCACCACTCCCCTGCCCCCACCACCATTTTGAGACAGGGTTTCTTTGTGTAACAGTCCTGGCTGTCTTGGAACTCACTTTGTAGACCAGGCTGGCCTTGAACTCACACAGATCTACCTGCCTCTGCCTCTTGAGTGCTGGTATGAAAGATGTGCACTCCCCCCCCCCCTTAAAGACTGGGTCTCATTCCTGGCTGGCTTGTAACTTGAGGCAATCCTTCTGTCTCTACCTCCTGAGTGCTGGAATTACAGGTGTGAGCCAGCACACATAGCTCTTCCTCAGTGTAATTTTTCTTGAGGAATAACTGACTCTTAAGATCCAACAATCTAGTGTACTTTTTTGTATCTATTAGGTATTCAATGATATTCACTGTACCTGTTGCTTGAGAGTACTATTTCCCTGTGCTATTACATTAATGTAGGTCTGTCATCTGAACTGCTTTCTTTGACCTGCCTCTATATTCTCTCTGAATCTTGCTCTTCCTGATGACATTACTCTGCTCAAACCTTTCAAAGGCTCTCTATGCCATTCAAGATAAAGTTCAAACCTCAATCCTGATATTTAAGTCAGCACACCTTACTCTACTGAACTCTCCTCACTGTACTCTTGAGAGATGTGCCACAGCAGGTATGTGAGGTCAGAGGACAATCTGCAGGAGCCCTTAACTTGTCAGGCTTGAAAGCAAGTGTCTTACTTGAATTATCTATCCCACTGGCCCATTCTGTTTGCTGTTAATTTTTTGTTTTTCACTACACTCTTGTGTTACCTCTAATTCCTTCCCCCTCTCAGCAATGCTAGTCCACCACCTTCAAGAAGCTTTTCCTGGCTGTTTGCTAGCCCACCCTGCAACTTCCCTCCAAAACTGCACAGCCTGACATGCCTCTTCCTTGGCCCCTCTAAAAGTTCTCACTGGAGTCAAGCTCTTGCTGGGAGGCTATTTACTTGATCTGGCCCACTAGAGGCTCTCCTGTGTCCTCTCAACCTGGCTGGGGCTCAATCAAGAATAATGAAGTGGTGATGAGCACACAGGAAAGACATTCCTTCAGAGCTTCCCCTTTCCTTTCCATTCTGCTTCCCTCTGTTTGGTTATCCCCTCTCACACACAGGAATCGCATCTCTTCTACCTATACACTCTACTGCTCCTTTCTCAATTATTTTTTTGTTTTGTTTTTTCGAGACAGGGTTTCTTGGTGTGGCTTTGGCTATGCTAAACTCGACTCTGTAGACCAGGATGGCCTAAAATTCATAGAGATCCACCTGCCTCTGCCTCCCACGTGCTGGGATTAAAGGTATGTGCCGCCACCTAGCTCTATTCTTGGGAATTCTTCTTTGCTTTCTTCTAGCTTATACTTTTTTTTTTCCCTTTTTCTTTAAATGCTTCCTCTCTGCAAGCTTTGGCCTCCACACCACTAATCTCCTCTTGTAGCCAAGATCAGTATCTCAGAATCTCCAGGCTGATGGAGATTCCACGTTTCCAGGACTTCTCTGGGCCTCTGCTCAGTCCCACCGAGGCCTTTCTCCCATTCATCATGGGGTCAGCCTGACCTTTTCTGCTCAGCTTGGCACAGGGCCTCCACAATCTCCTATAGTCAACACACAGCGCCTGAAAACTTCTTACCCACTCACTTCTCCCCCACCCCCACCCACAGGAAGGCACTTGGGCCTGCTCTGCAGTAGTAGCCTACTCCAAGCTCAAAAGGACTTACCTGACCACTTTGTAAGGCCTTAGAAAGTATCTGGAGCCTCAACGCTTCAAACCAGCCTCCTCATGGTTTATTAAAACCTCAACCTCAATTCTCAACTGACCAGGGCCTACCTTCTGGCAAAGATGTCACCACCACCTCAGGGGCCTCCTGGTGTAACATCCCCTGTACATTCCAAGGCCAGGGGTTACCTCTCTCCTCCCCTACCTTCCATTTGGCCTGACTTGCGATTTCATCCAACTTCAGCCAGACCCTACTCCACCACCATTCTGTCAGGCCCATGGCCTCCCTCTCTTGAAGCCAGGCCTGCCTCAGAGGGCCCTAACTTTGTCTTTAACTCTCTATTATCACTTTTCACACCATGGACCCTTTCCCCTCCTAAGTTGCCAGGCCGCTGGCCCGCGATATACTCCTACAGCAGGGCCTTCTTGAGACCATCTGGTCCAGGCACTCCAGGCCGCTGGCCTTAGCTGCTCAGTTTGGACCGCCTCGACAGGTCCCAGCCCTTTGGTACCGCCGCTCGCAGGCCTGAAGCCTCGGTTACCTCCCCTTCGGACCAAGGCCTCTTGCCCATGATGCGTCCTATTCCATTTGGGCTTGTCTGTCCGGGATACCCTGGCCCTTGCCCTGCCTGAGGCCTCCTCGGCCCTTCCCGCCGCCCGGTCGTTCGAGCCTGTCCCTGCTTGCCGAACCTCTCCCGGCTCCCTCCACTCACTTTTCCACCCTTCTTCACCGCCCCGGCCCATCCGAGGGGCCTCCGGCGCTACCTGCTCTGCAGGCGGATCAGCCGCTCAGTTTAACAGTGTGGTCTGGGGCGTCGGTGCGCTCCCTCCAGCTCTTGGGCCGTCAAACAGGCCACGGCGCCCCCAGCCTTTCGGCCTCTCCCCCAACCCCATTCCATTCCCTCGCTCTCCACTCGGCTGTCTCACCCCGCCCATCCGCTGGGCTCCGGGAGTCTGGCTGCCCGTGGTGTACCCCGCGGACAGCGGAGGCCCAGGGCCGTCAGTTTAGGTGGCTCCGGGCCTGGCCTCCTTGCCTCAGGCCTGGCCTGCCAATATCGGCCCCTGCCCCGGGGCAGCCGGGCCATCCCTGCCCGTCGGTTCGACATCCGAGCCTCCTCGGTCCAGTCCGGCTCAGCCCAGTGTCAGTTCCGAGCCTTCGGCTCCGGCCTGCCAGTCCAGCCCCTGTCGCTAGGGCCCTGCCAGCTTTTGCCCCACACCGGGCCTTCTGGCCTCGCCCCCCGCGCCCCCTAGCCGCTGGGCCGCCCCCGCTCGCTGCTGGAGGTAGCCCCTCACTCCGCGACTTACCCCACACCCCGCTCTCCAGCCCCCCCAAAAGGGCGCTCACTGCCCGCCCGCACAGCTCGAACAGGGCGGGGGGAGCGCTGGGGCCCGAGGCCGAGCTCTTCGCTGGCGCCGCCTCCCGGGACGTGGCCTCCATGGTCGTTGCCGCCGCTACCTCACAGAACCAGCAACTCCGGGCGCGCCAGGCCTCGGGCGCCGCCATCTTGGGGAGGTGCGCGAGCCCGAGAATGGAACGCGCAGACCGCCATCTTGAAGAGGTCAGCTCTCAGGACCGCTCCATAAGTGATATGGGTAGGGGCAGTCACTACGCGGTAGCAGAGCGCCATATAAATCAGCAGATATCTCGAGTATCTTAGGAAATACTACCTGGAAAATCACTCTAGATGACACACTTGGGCCTGGGGCGGCCAAAAGGATGTTTCTTAGCAAATCCTTCGCAGACATATATGCCAGCTCCCCCTACCACCTGCAGCTAACGAGTAGTACAGGCCAATCTGGGCGTGTGTTCCAGACTACGATGAGTATGCCGCACTTCCGGCCAGGTCGCCGGATATCCGTCAAGTGACCCTTACAAGTCCTCCTTGATCCTCAAGTGGAGTCGTTAAGGTTGTTTCTCCTGGTGTGGAGGGCCGAACAGCTTCCTGACATGGGACTAGAGGACGAACAGAAGATGCTTACCGGATCCGGAGACCCCAAAGAGGTAAGGCTAGGACGTCGGCTCTTGCTCCCCTCTACGCGCTGAGCCCCGGGATCTACCGCATCAAAGCACTTTCCCGGGCCCTCCTGGTCCGGGTCCTCCTAGGGTTTGCGGGGTTGACGCGGGCAGGCGGGCGGTTTCCGCTGCTCGTCTTCAGAATTCGTTAATGGATAGTCTTTCTCAGGGCCCGGTTTCCCAACCCACGAATGTGAAGGTTTAACTGGAGTTACAAAGCTGTACCTGAGAAAGAAAGAAAGAAAGAAAGAAAGAGAAAGAAAGAGCTGTGTTTTCAGTCAGTCGGATGTTTTTAGGTTCTGATTTCTAAGTGTGTGAGACAAATAGACCGGCGTTAGCCTTTAACCTAGCTTAGGTCATTGGTGGAAGTTTCGGGGACCCAAGCCTTATACCACTTTCTGTGAAAAAGTGGCTCAGGAATCGGGGTGTAGCTTCGCGGTAAAACGTTTGCCTACTATCAAGAAGGCCTGTCTGTGTTCGCTCCCCATCACCACAAACAAAAAGTGGTTTTGGGAACAGTGTAAAAATGTGCAGTGTAATTCTGTGGTGAAAGAGGGAGCTCTTGCCCCGGTTGAGTACCAGTGTGATAAATATTGACTGCTTGTGTTCTGAGTGCTTTGTATGTACTAAGACATTTAACTTGAAGTTTCCCCATGAGTTAAATATTTGTTACGTTATTTTTTTTGTCATTTTTATAGATGAGGCAGCAAGCAAGGAAGTTCATTATCTTGTCTAAGGGAAAGAAAGACAGACAGGCAGACAATCAATGCAGCTGGGAATAGAGTCCAAGTGTCACAACACAGCCAGACCTCTAACCACAGTACTTTACAAAAGCGATGCACTTTGCTTCTGTTTCCTATATATTTGCCCTCTGTCTACTTCAGGACAAGCCATTGGGGCTTTATGGATTTGGAATTATTTGGAAAATTGTTTATCTTTTAATTTTTTTCTAGTCTTAACAGTTTCCAGAAAGTGTTGGAGCCAGGCTCAGAAAGTTCGACAGGTTACTAAAAACCACAACGGCATGGTGGTCCATGCTTTGAATCTTAGCACTCAGGACAGCCAGAACTATAGGGAGACCCTGTGTCAAAAACAAAGAACCAAAAACAATAAATCAAAGCAATCAAAAAAAAATATAAAATGAAGAAAGTTGAATTAATTTTACTAAAGACCCATAATCATTGGAGATTAAATCCTTTTATTCAGTGTGACTTTGGTTTATCTCATTGGTGGAAACAGTCCATAATTATTTTTGACATAATTACTAATGTAGCATTGCTAACTGGGAAATGACACAATAGTCTAGAACACTTTAATTTCAAGCCCCCCCCCCCAATTTTTATTTTTTCTGTAATCGTGTGTTTGTATTTTGCTTGTGTGTGTATCTGTGTACCACTTTTGTGCTTGGTGCCTTCTAAGGGCACTGAATCCCCTGGAACTGGAGTTACAAATGTTTGTGACCTACCATGTAGGTGCTAGGAGGAACCTGGGTTCTTTGGAAGAGGGAGAGGTGCTCTTAACCGCTGAGCCATCTTTTGTGTGCTTGTATGGGTGTCGGTGTATGTATGCATCTGTCTGTAGGTCTTTCCACATGGGTTGCTAGGATCATACTCAGGTTGTTGACACCAAACAATTTTACCTGATGGTTTTAGAACTTTTTATTCTTATGCTGGGCCTTGAATTCAGCACTTCAAGTATTCTGAGAAAGTGCTTTACCACTGAGCTTTGATATCAGTTTTGTTTTTATTTTTTTCGGGGGGTACTTTTTCAATGTTAATTTAAAACTTTTTAAAAACATTTTTTAGATTTATTTATTTATTTATTATGTATACAGTGTCTGTCTGTATGCCCCCACACCAGAAGAGGGTGCCAGATCTCATTACAGATGGTTGTGAGCCACCATGTAGTTGTTGGGAATTGAACTCAGGTCCTCTGGAAGAACAGCCAGTGCTGTTAACCTCTGAACCATCTCTCCAGCCATATGTTTGCCTGGTTTTAAGGGAGGTCAGAAGAGGGTGTTGGATCCCCTGGCACTGGAATTAGAGATGGTTGTAAGGAATCAAACCTAGTTCTTTTGCAAGAGCAGCAAATTCTCTTAGCCATTTGCCATCTCTCCAGCTTGTTAATAAATCATTTAGGGAGCTTGATGAAAACTAGAACTTATATCCTAAGTAACAGCTTCACACTTAGGAGAAACCTTGCCAACTGAGAGAGTAGAGAGCTGAGGTTACAGTTGACTCTCCCTCCCTTCTAGGGAAACGTGATTGTTGAGCTCCTCTTTTTATTCCCTTTGTGCCTCTACTTTCTCTTCTCCCACATGTGGATAGTTATATTGTGTGTGTGTGTGTGTGTGTGTGTGTGTGTGTGTGTGTGTGTGTGTAAATAATTGCCATGCACCAGATTTAGGATCTATGCTGATGCTCCTATAGGTAATTTTTACAATTAGGCAAAGAAAGGATACTAATTTGAAGGTACACGGTGGGATAATAAATAGATAATGTAGGGCCTAGTGTGTTTAAGGTCTTAGATGAAGTTGTATAGACTTTTATAATTATATTGACCTTCAAGCCAAAGGGCAGTGATTATAACTTTAGTTAAGTTGGCTAAAGAAAAGAATTTAGGTTTGGCCATTTTCATTTTCCATATTCAAGTTAAGTGGCTAGAAAAAAAGCCAGAGAGATGATGCAGTGGATAAAACCCTGTGCTGGTCTTGCAGAGGATCTGAGTTCAGTTCCTAGTACTTTCATCAGGTGGCTCGCAATTGCCTGTAACTTTGGTTCCAAGAGATGTGATGTCTCTGGCCTCTACAGGCACCTGTATTCATGTGTACATACTACCAGCCCCTGACACACATACCCATAGTTTAAAAAAAAAAAAAAAATAGTGACAGCTGGGCAGTGGTGGCACATGCCTTTTTAGTTCCAGCACTTGGGAGTCAGAGGCAGGTGGATCTCTGAGTTCAAGACCAGCCTGGTCTACAAGAGCTAGTTCCAGGATAGCCTCCAAAGCCACAGAGAAACCCTGTCTCAAAAAACAAAACAAAACAAAACAACAAAAAAAAAAGTGGCAATCTTAAACAAACAAAATAACCAAAAAAGTTGGTTTTCCTCTAAACTTAGTTCAGGATATAAAGACAAAGTTTAGCTATTTCTATCAGTATTTACCAGATACTTTATTTATTGTTTTGAGATAGGGTCTTATGTAGTCCAGATTGGACTCAAATATGAGCTCCTGATCCTCTGCCTTTTAAGTGCTGGGATTACAGGAGAGTACTCCTCACCTGTTTAAGCAAAGGCAAAGTATTTTTGTTTTGTAGGTTGGTGCATTGCATGGGTACTTCTGCTCATGTGTGTATGATACCTTGTTTCCCCTTTCAGTGTGGGAATTGGACCAAGGGCTTTGTGCAATGTTAGGAAAGCACTCTCATTGAGCTACACCTTAAGACTACCAAAATACTTCTAAGTTCTTTTGGTCTCATTGGATTATTTGATGGCTTGAGTCTATTATCAGGAAGTGTTTAATAATTACTATTGTTTCTAACTTGGGATTACTTTCTTAAGAGCTGACTAATTATATCCTAATGTACTTCATTAGTCTATGTATACTTCATAAACTGTAGACTGTCCTGAATGCTTAGATCTTACTGATGAAAGTGAAGTGGTGTCTGTCTTAAAAATATGGTGAGGTGGTGTACATGGAGACAGCTAGCTATCTTTGAAAGAATTTATGGACTGGGCATAGTGGTTTATACTTGTGATCCTATCACTTTTGAGGCTGAGGCAGGACAATGAAGAGTTCAAGGCCAGCTAGGGCTACAAGCAGGACACATTCTTAAAATATAAAAGGCCAATGAGATAGTAAAAGTGCCTGTCTCTCACCTGACAACCTGTGTTCAACCTCTTGGACCTACATGGTGAAAGGAGAAAACTGATTTTCACAAGTTGTCCACTGACTTCTTTGTGTTTGCTGTAGCATAAATAAAACGTAAAATTTAAATTTAATGAAAAGAGCAGGAAGGAGAAGAAAGATGGCAGGGTGATTTATTGCTTATAGTTCTTGAAAGAAAGGCTCAGGACAATGCAGAGAAGTGGGGCAAAAGGAAACAGAGGAGCTGGGCATGGTGCTACCACATTCCTGTGATCCAGGCATTCAGGCTGATGCAGGAGGATTTCTGCAAGTTCAAGGCCAGGCTGGCTAAATAGTGAGACCCTGTCTCAAAAAACAAAAACAAGTTAGGGCTGGAAAAATGGTTCAGTGCTTAAGAGCACTTGCTGCCCAAGCGTGAGGACTAGAGAATGGATCCTAGCATGAAGGTAAAAGCTAGGCATTACAAAGTGAGGGGGCCCCTCACTAAGGCATTCTGGCTGCTCCCCGGAATACCCAGTGCTCCCTAGTGGCCTCCAAGCACAATGATGAATACACCTGCACACACATATGCATATGCTCCCACACACACAATTATTTTTATAGAAGTTGGGAAGAGAACTGAGTATGGTGATTCACATCTGTAATTTCAGTGTTTGGGAAGGTGAGGTAGGACTGACACACATATGAAGCCAGTCTGAGCTAGAGTGAGACCTTACCAAATCAAACAAGGAGTCACAGGGAAATCAAGGCTCAGAGCCTGGTTTCTATGGGAAGGAATGATGGCAAAGTTTGATCACATTAAGGATTGGATAGTTTGAATAATTTCAGTGAACTCTGAACTATGGTGCTGATCCCTTGTTGATCTTTCTCTCTAGAGTAAGGGCAATACAAAGTTTGTATGTGAGACTTGCCTAAGGAAGTGACTGGCTATATGGGTTTTGGATTGACTGGTACATGAAAGGTGTGTCCCAAGCAAACTGTATTTTATCTGTAAAAATTAGCTAGTTCTAGGGAGAGGCAGAATTTAGCATTTAAATTAGCAAGGATGCTAGGGTGACAAACATCATCATAAAATATGATTAATAGTCTTTTCTCCGTAATTTTTGTATCAGTATGATTGGGGAAATGTATGTTATAAAATTGCTGCTGACACTAATTCTCTTTACCTTTTGTAGGAAGAAGAGGAGGAAGAATTAGTGGTAAGTGCTGCTTCCGGTTTTGAACTACTTTTCTAGAAATAGGAAATTTGAGCTTCATGAAACTCTAGGGCATTTTAAGGAATCTCTGACAACTTGGAAAATGAATGAATAAACCTTTAATATCTCCTATGCAGTGGAGGGTTTGGGAGTGTAAGCTTAGAAAGCTATGTATGTCTCTTCTAGGTTTGGGGGTTTTTTGGTCATACCAGGAATCAGACAGCACCTCGAAGAACTCTGGAAAGAGATTTTTTAGATAGTTCTCCATGTTTGCATTTTCTGTCTGCAAGTAGGGGGCTAGGCCTGATTCTTAGACCAGGGAAATTGAATCCTAAATGCTGTATTAATAAGTGATGCCTCTAGTAGATCTACTTCCTGTTTGGCCAGGTGTCCTTGTTTCTCAGAACTGAGCCAAATATCTGCCTTCCAAGGTGCCAGTATGCACTAACCTTGGAAGGCAGAAATTTGAAAATTCTCTAGTACTTAGCATCAAAGAATTAAGTAGGCATTCCCATTCTGCCATTTCTGGCTAGCATATGGTTCTGCCTGCTGGCCTGTATGTTCAGAGGTAGCACCTTGGTTTGGTGATTATACTGACCAAAGCATATGTATGTGGTGGATGTTTCCTGAAGCTTCCTTTTTTCCCCCATTTCTTTGTCAGGACCCCCTAACAACAGTGAGAGAGCAATGTGAGCAGTTGGAGAAGTGTGTAAAGGCCCGGGAGCGGCTAGAGCTTTGTGATAGTCGTGTGTCTTCCCGATCACAGACAGAAGAGGATTGTACAGAGGAGCTCTTTGACTTCTTGCATGCACGTGACCACTGTGTAAGTCAGTCTGAAGACAGGAAGGGCAAAGCTAAACAGTGGTCTTCATGCTCTAAGGTTTTGAGGTTTTTTTTGGGGGGGGGTCTTTGGGGGGGTGGAAGGAGTTGTTTCTCTGTAGCTTTGGAGCCTGTCCTGGAATTGACTCTATAGACCAGGTTGGCCTTGAACTCACAGAGATCTTCCTGCCTCTGCCTCCCGGGTGCCAGGATTAAAGGTATATATATATCAGGTTTTGTGACAAGCATTTTATATACATAGCTGTCCTTAATCCTTATCACATATGCTGGAGGTAGGTATCTCTGTCTCTATTGCACATATTGGAACAGACTGACATGGAAAAACAACATCCTAACATGCACTGTTAAATAACAGGGAAATTGGTTTTTATATTCTTTTTTCTTTTGGTACTGGAGATAAATCACAAGGCCTTATGCGTGCTAGGCAAATGCTCTGTGCTCTGAGCTATACCCCAGTCCTGGATTTCATCTTTAAGGGAAAAAAAATATTTAATTTTTTTTTGTTTTTTTGAGACAGGGTTTGTCTGTGGCTTGGAGGCTGTCCTGGCTGATCAGCTTGTAGACCAAGCTGGTCTTGAACTTACTGAGATCCCCCTGCCTCTGCCTCCTGAGTGCTGTGACTAAAGGCATGCGCCACCACCGCCTGGCTTAATGTTATTTAATTAATTTTGTGTGGGTGTTTTTCGTTCGTGTCTTTGTTCCATGTATGTGCCTGGTGCCCAAGGAAGTTAGAAGAGGGCATCAGATCTTCTGTAATTGAATTTGTGGATAGTTCTGACTTACCATGTGAGTGATGGGAGTGTTAGAAACTGAACCCAGGGCTGGAGAGATGGCTCAGAGGTTAAGAGCACTAGCTGCTCTTTAAGAGGTCCTGACTGAGTTCAATTCCCAGCAACCACGTGGTTGCTCATAACCATCTATAATGAGATCTGATGCCCTCTTCTGGCCTGCAGGCAAACATGCAGGCAGAACACTATATACATAATAAATAAATTTTTTAAAAAAAGAAAGAAACTGGACCCAGGTCCTCTGCACCTCTGAAAAAAAGCAGCTAGTGTTCTAACCACTGAGCCATCATCTCTCCAGCCCCAGATACTATACTTTTAATAGTCTGTTTTATATGCTCCTTCAGTATGTATAGTTGTTTCTTTTTTAAGTAAGTTGTGCTTCACTCTTTCATATAACAGTATTTTATACATATAGCACACACGCAGAACTGGATAAGATTAATTCCATTAAAACTGATTAGGTAAGTCATGTGTGTTGGCTTATACCTATAATCCTAGTATTTAACCATTTGGAGTGCTGAGGCATGATAATTGTCATGAGTTTGAGGCCAGCCTGGGCTATATATTTTTAGTCCAGTCTAGTCTATAGAATGAGATACTGCCTCAAAGGGAAGGGAGGGGGCAACTGATTGGCTAGCTACCTTACTGAGACTATATTCTGTGTGTACGTGGTAGAGCACTGCTTGTCTAGTGAGGCCTGGGTTTGATCACCAGGGTGGTAGCTGGGGAGTGTTACATGAGAAAGAAATGTGGGAAAAAGTAGAAATTTCACACTCTACCGGTAAAGATATAAGTGGTATAGCCAATGTGTAAAATAGCTTGGCAGTTCCTTAGAAGGGCAAGCATAGAGCCAGCCATGGAAGCGCACATCTGTAGTTCTAGCTACTCAGGAGTCTAAGGCAGAAAGGTACTGAAGCCCAGGTGCTTGAAACCAGTCTGGTCTTCGTTAAAAAAAAAAATTTTTTTTTTTTTTTTTTTTTTTTTTTTTTGGGTAAAGAGTTAAGCATGGTCTAGCATATGGCCACAGATAACACTGAGCAGTTCCATTCCAACATGTATATACGAGAGAAATATAAAAAGTTGTATGTAGTAGGGTGGTGGTATATTCCTGCCAAGAGAATTCCAAAAACAGATTTGTGTGGTGATTATTTGGTGGAAGCTTACAGGCAATTGCATACAGTTTCAAAAAGAAGTATGGGGCTTAAGAGATGGCTCAGCAGTTAAGAGCACTGGCTGCTTTTCTGAAGGACCTGGGTTCAATTCCCAGCAACCACATTTGCAGGTCACAGCTATCTGTAACTCTAGTTCCAGTGTATGTAATACCCTCACAGTGACATATATTCAGGCAAAACCCCAATACACATAAAATAAAAGTAGTAGATGAAAAAATTCAGAGTTGCAGACAAGAGTTAGGTAACTGAAGGGAGTTAGTAGGCCCCAAGTATGGATAAGGATACTTAAGAATGAGAGTGTCAAGAAAGAAGCAGTACTGTTCCAGGTATGAAGACCCGTGAGTGTGACATTAAATCTAAGTGATGTTTTTGTTTTTGTTTTCTTCTCTAGGTGGCCCACAAACTCTTTAATAGGTTGAAGTAACTGCACAGATCATCCACCTCAGCCTTGTCACAGGGCATCAGGAGAAGTTCCTTGTAGTTTTGAACCATTTGTTTCTAATGTGTATTCTGGAGAACTTCAATGATTATGGCAAGTAGCTTCTCTTCCATGTAATTAGCAATTCCATCTGAATAAACTGATCTGCAGATCTGCTGTTTGTCCTTCCTCTGCCACCCCTTTATTTTAGTTTTAATTTTTTCTGCCCTCCCCCACCCCAATAAAATCGAACCAACAGTCTTGTGCATGCTAGGCAAGTGCCTTACTACTGGGCTACATTTCATCCTTTCACTTCATTTTATAAGTCTTGCTAAATTGCATTTGTTGGCCCTCAAAGTTTCAGTTCTCCTGCCTCAGACTCTTGAATATCAGAGTATAGGCAGGTGACACAAACTTGGTTCCTTTGAGGTGTGCCCCCCCCCCTTTTTTTTTTTGTGGTGCTAGGAATTGAACCCAGTGTCTCAGCCTCCTAGGCAAGAACTCTACTCATATGCTGTTTCCTCAGTCCCTGTATCAGAATGTTATTTAATTTGATATTTTGTGCAGGGTGTGGTTATACATGCCTATAATCACAGCAATAGGATGGCTAGAGCAGAGTTCAAAACCAACCTAGGATACATGAAAGGACCCAACTCCACACCCCCAGAAAAATGTTCTTTTTCAAACATGTATAAGGATAGAATGTAACTAATTCCTGTGACCTAGCAAGTAAATAATCTCTAGTGATTTATTATGCATGTGTGATTATCACCCATAAAGGTAGAAGGAATTGTTTAATTCTAGTTTCTTTTTTGGTTTTTCGAGACAGGGTTTCACTGTGGCTTTGGAGGTTGTTCTGGTACTAGCTCTTGTAGGCTAGGCTGGTCTCGAACTCACAAAGATCCACCTGCCTCTGCGATTAAAGGTGTGCGCCACCAACGCCCGGCTTTTTTTTTTTTTTTTTTAAGATTTATTTATTTATTATGTATACAACATTCTGCTTCCATGTATATCTGCACACCAGAAGAGGGCACCAGATCTCATAACGGATGGTTGTGAGCCACTATGTGGTTGCTGGGAATTGAACTCAGGACCTCTGGAAGGAGCAGTCAGTGCTCTTAACCTCTGAGCCATCTCTCCAGCTTTAATTCCTAGTTTCTCACCTCAAAAGTGTTATGATACAGCGTGAGAGGGACCTTGGCTGCTTGTAGCCAAGGGGTACCACAGTGGGTAAGAGACAGATACGCCATGCAGAAAGCTCTCACATAAAGAGTCTTTGGGGTGGGGAGAGGGGGGTGAGAGAAGGGAAGTGCATAGGGGCCTTGTGGGAAGGGGGAGAGAGAAAGAGGCAGTGCGAGAGAGAGAGAGAGAGGGGGGGGGGGGGGGGGGGGGGGGGGAGGAGGAAGGGGAGAGAGAATGAAGCTGGTTCGGCCATAGTTTTAGCAATGTAGCTAAAGACATTATCAGGAACCCCGAACAGAGTACTGCCTGAATACTGGCAAGCACGTGCATATTAGGATGATGCAGGCTGCAAACTGAACAGTTCCTACACTTAACAGGACTGGGGATATTTGAGTTGTAACCAAGTCTTGTGAGCTCTTGTTGAACTTTATGCTGTGATTTAAAGTTCCCAGGAAACAAAACAAAAAAACCATGTCCACATTAAAAATTCTACAAGGCTCAGACACTGATTAGGACTGATTGCAAAGAGTTGTACTGTTGCTCATCCAGAGACATTATCTTGGGCCATCTTTATGTCCTAAGTGGTCATTCACTGCCCACTTATGTACCTGATCTACCACTCATGTGACCATGTGTAAAACCTTTAGGGAGGTCTTTACAGACCACTTATCTTCCACCAATCCAAAAGCTGAGAATGTTATCACATAGCATCTGAAACCCATAGAGAGTTCTCTGCTCTATTCTAACCTGTCTACCTGGTGGTTCTCACCAATTCTTTTAAAAGACTCAAATTGTCAAGACTAATCCAAGAAGCCAGACTTAGTGGCTCATGCCTGTAATCCCAGCCCTTGGAAGGTAAAGGTAGGGAGATCAGAAGTTCAGGTCATGCTGAGTTATATAATACATTTAAGGCCAGTCTGAACTGCTCGAAATTCTGCTTTATAGGGGCTGGAGAGATGGTTCAGTGGTTAAGAGCACTGCTTGTTCTTCCAAAGGTCCTGAGTTCAATTCCCAGCAACCACATGGTGGCTCACAACCATCTGTAATGAGATCTGGTGCCCTCCTCTGGCCTGCAGGCATATAAATAAATTAAAAAAAAAAAAAAAGAAAGAAAGAAAAAGAAATTCTGCTTTATAAAAAGTAGGGCCTGGTGCTGGAGAGATGGCTCAGAGGTTAAGAGCTCTGACTGCTCTTCCAGAGGTCCTGAGTTCAATTCCCAGCAACCACATGGTGGCTCACAACCATCCATTATGAGATCTGGTGCCCTCTTCTGGTGTGCAGATATACATGGAAGCAGAATGTTGTATACATAGTAAATAAAGTCTTTAAAAAAAAAAAAAGTAGGGCCTGTGAGATGGTTCAGTGGGCAGAGACTCTTTCACCCAGGTTTGATGACATGAGTTCAATTCTCAGATCCCACAGGCATGGTAGAAACCACTCTGGAGAGTTTCCTGGATCTGACCACTAACTATACATGTATTGTAGCATGTATGCAACTGTATTCATCTAAGAAAATAACTGAACACTTGTTTCTATTTTTTCAAGACAGGGTTTTTCTATGTAGCTTTGTAGACCAGCTGGCCTCCAACTCACAGAGATCCATCCACCTGCCTCTGCCTCCCGAGTGCTGGGATTAAAGGCGTGGGCCACCACGGCTCATCGAGTGCCTGGTCTTAGCTTGGCTTGTTTCTAGCCAGCTTTCCTTATCTTTAATTAGCCTGTCTACCCTTTTTTCCCCCCTCTGGGCTTTTATCTTCTGTGGAGTTTTACTTTCCTTCTTACTCTGTGGCTGGCCCCTAATATATCCTCCTCTCTTTTTCTTTCTGCTTTTTCCTCTTTGTCTGCCAGCCTCACCTATCCTTTCTCCTGCCTCCACTATTGGCCACTCAGCTCTAGTCTAATAGACTATCAGGTGTTTTAGATAGGCAAAGAATCACAGCTTCACAGAGTTAAACAAATGCAGCATAAACAAAAGTCACCTTGAAATAATATTCCCTAACATAAGTGCTGGGATTAGAGGCATGCCACCACGGCCTAGCATCCCATATTAATTCTCAACCTCAGTATCATTAATATTTTGTGTCAGAATATTCTTTGTTATTGGGAAGGGCTCTCGTGTTACCCATGTGCTTAGCATATCCCTCTACTTACTAGATACTGGAAATACCAAGAAGTTATAAGGATCCAAAATATCTTCAGAAGTTAATCAAATGTCCCCTGAGGAATAGACAAAAATCACCTTTGATTAAGAATCACTGCTCTATCTCAGATGGAAGATACAGAATTAATAATTAAAAACTTAAGTTGAGTGTAGTAATGCATGGTGTAATCTGACTTATTAGCAGACTGAAGCTGGAAGGATCAGGAGTTTGAGGCCAAACTGTGCTACAGAGCAAAACCCTGCCTCCAAAGCTGTTTCTCTTCATCTCCATTTTGCCTCTGAGCTTCTTAACCTTTCTTTTTGTATGTTCTACTCCATGCTTGTCTTTTTCTCCCTCAATCTCTCTTCATCCTTGAGCCTAGATTCCTTCTCCTACTTATCTCTCTGCCCTTCAGCCCCCCCCCCCAATCTCTCTACTGCCTAGTTATTGGCTGTTCAGCTTTTTATTAGACCAGTCAGGTGCCTTAGGCAGGCAGGGTGAAACAGCAACGCATCTTTTCCTAATTAAACAAATGCAGCATAAACAAATGTAACACACCTTTACGTAGTTGAAGTGATATTTCACAACATAAACAAATGCAATAAATCTTTGTCTAGTTAAAATAACACTCCTTAACTTTTGAAGAATTGGGTGACTTTTCATAGATATGTATTGTGCTATGGATTATCTTTATTTTATGTACAGATGTGCATGAGGCCAGAGGTTCATACAAGGTGTCTACCTCTGCCTCAACTGCTCTCTGCTTTTCAGACAAGTCTCACTGAACATAGAGCATGCTGATTGGCTGGATTGGCTGGCCAGCAAGTCCCAAGGACTTTCCTCCACAGCCCTGGGATTTCAAGCACACTACTTTTTATGAAGTGCCGGGATCTGAACCCAGGTCTCATGGTTGCATAGTAAGCACTTTACTAACTGAGCCATTTCCCCAGTCCCAATTGAGACTGGATCTTAATAAAATAAAACATAAAACAGCAGCTGGGTTGTGGTGGCGCATATCTTTAATCCCAGCACTTGGGCAAATGCAGGCAAATCTCTGAGTTTGAGGCCACCTTGGTCCACAGAATAAGTTCCAAGATGGCCAAGGTCACACAGAGAAATCCTGTCATGAAAAGCTAGATAAATGAATGAGTGATACAATGACCAAGTTTTATCAGCTTCTTTTTTATTTGTTCTGTTTTGTTTTATCAGCTTCTAATCCATCACGCTTTAATAGACAAGTTTTGAGAGGGTTTTCAATAATTCAGAGTATGAAGGAGATTGAATATATAGCTCAGCAATAGAATACAAGGCCTTAGATTGTATCCAAAGCACTGTAAAAACAAAAGGATCCTGAAAGTATAAGAGTGGTTTGATACAGCCGGGTGTTGGTGGCGCACGCCTTTAATTCCAGCACTCGGGAGGCAGAGGCAGGTGGATCTCTGTGACTTCAAGGCCAGCCTGTCCTCCAGAGCAAGTGCCAGGATAAGAGTGGTTGATACAGTTCAACCCTCCCATTTAATTTTTAAAATTTAAAAAATATATAGGGGGTTGCAGGGTCGGGGTAGGGGGTATGGTGATGACGACGACGACACATGCCAAGGTATTCCTGTGGAGGTCAGAGGACAGCTTGGGAGTTGGTTCTTTCCTACAATGTGGGGCCTGGGGATTACACTCAGATTGCTGGGTGTTCTTCCACACTGAGCTATTTTACAAGGCCCAAATCCTCACTCTGAGCACTCAGGAGCTGAAGCAGGAAGACAGAGGCAGGCTTGTCTACATACTGGGTTTTAAACCAGCCGGGGTTGCATAGTTAAACCCTGTTGTAAAGTAAGTACACAATAATAACTCTCAGCATTCTATTGCGGTAAGACATATCTGGAAAAATTGTCTACAGTTTATAAATAAGCAGATGAAGATCTTGCTATGAATATGTTCATTGTATTGCCAGGGTACACCTCTGGTTTATTTTATATTGACTAGGCCATCTTACACCTTTTTGTTCTTTCAAAGATGCCTGTGTATGAGTGTTTTCCCTGTTTGTACATATATATATGGCATTTGAGTGCCTGGTACCCAAAGATTTCAGAAGGCATCACATCTCCTAGAACTGGAATTACAGATGAGCCTGGGAATTAAACCCAGGTCTTCAGCAAGAGCAACAAGTGCTCTTAACTACTGAATCAAGTCTCCAGCCCATATCTTATGTCTTTGTAGGAACTGAAGTGAACTTGTACGAAGCTAATGACATTTAATTAGACTTATCCATGGTAATACTAATCAATTCTGCCCAGTAAAGATGGAATTGATTTCCATATGAAAAGGTCATTCCAAACATTATGTTTTTTGTTGTTGTTGACTTTGTCAGTATGAGGTATCAAACCTAGGACCTCAATGCATGCATGCTGAGTATTAAAGTGTAATGAGCCATACATTATACTTTAATACTCAGGATGTTAAGATTTCTGCAACTGGGGCTGGAGAGGTAGCTCAGAGGTTAAGAGCACTGGCTGGACTTCTCGAGGACCCAGGTTCAATTTCCAACACCCACATGGCAGCTCACAACTGTCTGTAACTCCAGTTTCAGGGGATGTGACTCTCATACAGATACACATACAGGCAAAACACCAATGCCCATAAAATAAAAATAAATCCTTAAAAAAGATTTCTGCATCTAGTAGGAAAATAATTTCAGATTTTCAGATGGTGTTTCACTATATAGCTCTGCCTGGCCTTGAACTTTGTGCAGATCAGGCTGGTCTCTAACTCAAATCTACCTGTGTCAGACTCCAGAGTGCTGGAATTAAAGACAGAAGTCATCATGCCTTATTTGGGTAGCTAAAATTTTGAAACTCAAATTCTCATTTAAACAAGTCCTTATTTTCAGTACCCTCATTTATTTATTTTTTGTTTGGTTGGTTTTTTTTTGAGACAGGGTTTCTGTGTAGCTTTGGAGCCTGTCCTGGCACTCACTCTGGAGACAAGGCTGGCCTCGAACTCACAGAGATCCACCTGCCTCTGCCTCCCGAGTGCTGGGATTAAAGGCATGCGCCACCAACGCCCGGCTAGTACCCTCATTATTTAAGGTAATGACAGATACATATGTGGCTTAGGTTGGTGAATACAATTTTTGGCATGTGTGTATTTTTGTATCAATTACATTTGGGGCACACATTTTAATCCTAGCACTTCAGAGACATAGGAAGGCAGGTATGATTTCCAAGCCAACCTGGTCCCCATAGAGTTGTAGGCTAGCCAAGACTACATAGGGAGATCTTGTCTCCAAAAAAAAAAAAAAAAAAAAAAAAAAAAAAAAAAACAAAAAAACAAAAACAAAAAAACAACCAACAAAACCCCCAAAGGAAGCTGGGCATAGTGGCACATGTCTTTAATCCCAGCACTTGGGAGGCAGAGGCGGCCAGATCTCTGCCAACCTGGTCTACAAAGTGAGTTCTGGGACAACCAAAGCTACACAGAGAAACCCTGTGTCAAAAAACAACAAATTGTATGTTTGTGTATGCTCATTGAATTGGTGAACGGGAGCTCACTAATTCCATATGGGTAGCTGGCCCACAAGTTCCAGAGGTCTGTTTGACATATTTTAACATTTAAAAAATTATAATGTGGGCTGGAGAGATGGCTCAGAGGTTAAGAGCACTGACTGCCCTTCCAGAGGTTCTGAGTTCAATTCCCAGCAACCACATGGTGGCTCACAACCATCTGTAATGAGATCTGGTACCCTCTTCCGGCCTGCAGGCATACATGCAGTCAGAATATTGTACTCATAATAGATAAATAAATCTTTAAAAAATTATAACGTAGCTGACTATAAGGTAATATATACCAGATGACAATACATAATAAGAATAAAAGTAAGGTTACAGGATAGTTAAAATTTAAGATATGGTACATATTAATTTGTCTTTGATTTTTCTGAGACAGTCTCTTGTGGCCCAGACTGGCCTGCAATTCTTACCTCTACTTACAAACTGCTAGGATTACAGGTGTTTCCAACCATCCATACCCAGCAATATTTAAAAAGAGAGAAAACAAAACAATACTCGTCCTCCCTCCCCCCTCCTCCTCTCTCTTTTCTCCAGACAGAGTCTCACTAGATAGCTCTGGCTATCATGGAGCTCACTGTGTAGACCAGGCTGGCTTCGAACTCAGAGATCTGCCTGCTTCTGCCTCCCAAGTGCTGGGATTAAAAGACATCCGACTCTATCCCCAGACAGATGATCATTTCTAAAAATACTGATCACTCCTTCCTGTACCTTGGATCCTGAATGGTGGAGTCAGGTGTGGTTGGGCCTAAAGCTTACATGAGAGTCTCAGAAAGAACACAAAATTAGGTACCGAGTGTTGAAAAGGACCATATGAACCAGATCTTGAAACTGAACCTTCTACGCCTTCCCTACAATTCCGCTTCTGCCTACAAATCTGGTCTAATTTTGCTCTACCTCGGGATCTTTATGCAACTTGAGCCCAGAAGCCTCCACTCACGCCCTCCCCGGCCCGTGAACCTCTTTAGATTTTCTAGCACAGCCACCGCTGCGCTCGCTGCTCCCAGCTGTGTCTGGCGGGCGGTGTTTGCACTTGGCGTGCGGAGGCAGGCGGAACCTGGGAGAGCCGCAAGCCTGACTCCCGCCCCTTTTGCCGCGGCTGGTCTAAGCGGCTCTCAGTCCTCCCCGGAACTCTAGAGTGCGCAGCTGCGGTTCCGGTCGGAGTTTCTTGGCACTGCCCACTGACATGGCTGCGCCCGTATTAAGGGGCGTTCGGAAGCTGCTGAAGCTCGTGGACTTCACGCCTGTCCCGCGGAGACATCGATATAAGAAGAAATGGGTAAGGTCTGGCGGGGAACATTAGAAACTTATCCAGCGCTTGTGTTTTCCGTCGCTCACAGTTGCATTCGGCACATCCATTAACCTTAACCTTCTCGAAGCTGTTGTCACCTTTCTGTCTACCCTTTTATTAACCACATCTCTTACTGTTGCATAAGCAGCCTCCTGACTCCGCCCCTCTGTGTTAAGTCATCATCTACTCTTCCATTCTTTTGGTGACGTCACATCGCCTCATGTTCCTTTTTCTTGCTTACCTTTGCCATACCCTCTCCATCCCTTCTTTTTCCTTTTCTTCCCCTCCCCCCCTTTTCCCTTCCCCTCCAGTCCCATGACCAGTCCTTTCCTCCTTGAACTTTCAGCCCCCACAACCTCACCCCTAGCAAAAGGTCATAACAACTGCCCCTTCCCTCCTGGGTCTCCATCGACCTGCAGTAAAGGATTCAGCCCTGTCCTCACTCTTAACGTGCCTTTGGGGTCCAGGAAAGAGTTCAACGACCACCTAGCCTGTACTACTGGCCTTTCTCCAAAAGCAGGCAAAAGGTTCACCAACCCCCCTTACTGTAGAGAACCTCTCTCTTGCCTCACCATTACATCTCCTTGCTTACCCCGACGGATTCCCTCCCCACCCCCTCAGCCCCCTCTATCTTCCTCCTCACCCCCACAGGGGATATGTTCTTTTGAACCCTTTTCTCCACTCCTAGGAAGGCTATACAACCAAGAGTGAAGTGGTTCATCCCCTCTGAACCCTTGTTTTGAACGATTCAGCATTCAGGGGTCACCCCCTCCTCAACGGAACCTTTATTGCAACTGTACCAGTTCCCCAAGATGTCAGCATCGGTGTCCTCCAAGCCCGTGCTTTTGTTACTGTAGTTCGGTGACTTGCCCATCTCTTATTAATCAGCCCCCCAGAACCAGCCCAGTAACCTCCCCTCAACTCACTCGTATATCCTTAGAGACTGGCCCTGTAATTGCAACTCCCGGTGTGCCTGGTTCCCAACAAAATTACACCATAATCTCACCAGTTCTTACCCATAGGCCTCTGAGAACTGGCCTTACGATTTCACCTCCTCTTGCTCACCGACCAGTGGTCGCTACATCCATTTCTCACAGAGTTTTGGAAACTGGGCCCATTATCTCTTACTGTTCCTCAGAGAGAAGTTACAATGAGCCCCCTCTTTCCTCAGCATCTGCCCCATTGGTTGGCAGCCTTTACCATGACCACCCTAAGCCTGTAGATTCTTGTGAACCTAAACCACAGCTTGACAGATCTCTTGGGAAAAACAGTTGTGGCCCTCCACTTTCTACTCAGGCAGGCATGCCTTGCTCTCCTATCTCACCCCAAGAGGCCTCTTTTCATTATTCCCACCTTTGCTCTGAGTCCCAGGTGTCTGCCACTAGGAGTCCTTACTGTGTTATCAGCCTGCCACCTGAGAGTGCTTGTTCTCCTTGCTCATCCCAGCCTCAGTCTCCCCACAAGTCTTGCTTAGAATCCTTTCTATCTTGGGAGACTGGGGGGAACTCTTACCTCTTGCTAACCCAAGGTGGTGGAATTTCTGAGCCACCTCTTCCTCAGTGTCCTTATCCTGCCCTGTATTACTCAACTCCCCTGGGCAACCAGGTTATAGCTCCGCCTCAGTGTTCCAGAAGTTTTAATGAACCCCCTCTCCCTACCCCAGTTCCCCCTCAAGTCAAGTCCCCCAAATCCGCAGATTCACAACGCACTCCCTACAGGTGTCGTTCCCTGGTCAGCACACTCCACCACACTTCTCCTGATCATCCGAAGTCCCCTAAGACCAACACTTCTCCTCAGCCTCCCTCCCGGTCCTTTGGCCTCTGTAGTCCTTTTTTGGAGCCGTCCATCACAACTACTTCAAATTCCGTACCAAAAGAACTTCCCCCAGAGACTATGGTGGACCCAGGAATCCTTAAAACCGTTGCCCCTACTTCCTGTCCCCAGAGCCTGCCTTGTAATCCTCTCTTGCCCAGTAGATATCCTAAGAGCGGTCCCCAGGGACCAACCCCAATAACCCCCTGTAATACACATATGTATTCTGTGGTTCCTCCCACCTCCCATTCATCCCCACTCTCTAGTCCCCTAAATCGTTCTATACGTCTCCCTCAGTGTCATAGCCAGCCTGTGGTTCCCTGTGGCACTTATACTGCTCCCAGGGGTCCACCACCACCCAATTGCAAGCCTATGGTGCCTCCTTGTTCTACCCACATCTATTCTTTTATCCCTCTGAGGACACCCTTTGACCCTCGGTGTTTACCTGTTGTTCCTCGAGTTCGACTTTGCCCCAATACTATTCCCTGTGGCCTTCATGCCTATGCTGTGTCCTCTCCAGGCCCACTCAAAGAGCCCCCTCAGATTCCCTACAGCTGTTCTTTGCCATCATCTAAGGTCTCCACCTGTAGTACTGCTGACAGTTGCAGTTCAACCATTATTATTACTAAATGTCATAGTAGTGAGAACCAGAGTATCCTCCAAGAAAAAAGTCAGAGCCAGAACAAGAGTTCCCTTTGTAATCGAAGCAGCAGTCCCCAAGACAAGGGTTTCCATCGGAGCAGAAGTTGGAGTCGGAGCAGTAGTCCTCACCAGATTGATACTCGGGACCAAAATGAGAATATCTGCTTGAGCATCAGTGAGGGACAGAATGAGAAATTTTACCATAGCAGAAGACGGAAGCAGAGCAATAGTCCTCGAGGTGATAAAAGAAAGAGCCAGAGCAAGAGTCCTCACTTCAGGAAAAGTCCTGGTCAGAGCAAGAGTCCCTCCAATAAGAAGAAATGATGACCAGAGCAAAACCCCAGGTTAGAGCAGAAGTTGCAGGAACATGACTGTCAGCAATAGCATCTCAGTTGTTGCAACCCCAGACCAACTTGTGGGTTCCTCATCTGAAGTTTTCAGTTCCTTTTTAATCTGACTCACGTCCTTCACTGCTAGCCCCATAACAGTTACCCTAGAAGTTTCTGCTTTAATTCTTCTTAAGATTTTTGAACTGTCTTTATTCTGCCTTCCTGGGGTCTGGGAAATCTTCCAAAACAACTCAGCTCTGTGATTCTGTGCATCATTTTGCCTATTCACTGGCCATCTTAGGTAAGTGACTCTCATTGCTCCAGGTGTGAAAGGGGTATTGTTGTTGTTTTTGTAGCCTGTTGAACACTACTGTCATAGATGGGCATGGTGGCACATGCCCATGCCCTTAATCCCAGCACTGGGGAGGCAGAGGAAGTGGATTTCTGTGAGTTCGAGGCCAGCCTGATCTACAGAGTGAGTGCCAGAGAAACCCTATCTCAAAAAAGCCAAACAAAAAAAAAAAAAGAAGGAAAGAAAGAAAAAAGTTTTAAGTCTCAACCCTTCCCAGGGCTTGAGGAAATAGTTTCTTAAAGAGTTTTTCCTTGAGTTTCTTAGTCCCCTTCCTATTTTTCAGTGCTAGTTATCAAATCTAGGGGATTGCATGTGCTAAGCAAGCACTGTCACACCCCAGCTTAAGTCCTCACCCACTGCCCACCCCTTTTTCCTTTTTTGAGACTTATGTGTTTCTCTCTCTCTGTCTCTCTCACTGTGTATGTGTGTGTATGTTTGAGATAGTCTCTTGTGTCCCTATTTGTCTTGAACTCTGTGTAGCCAAGAATGATGCTCCCTTGTATCTCCTGAGTGGTGGGATTACTTACAGCAGACTTTTAAAAATGATATTTATGTATTTATTGGTATGAATATGGGTATGTACATGTATGCACCTATGTGCCATGTTCTACCTGGGGCGGGTCAGACAACAACTTGGGGGAATCATTTCTTTCCTTCTACCATGTGGTTCCCAAAGATCTAACTCAGGTAGTCACACCTAGTGGTTCCCAAAGATCTAACTCAGGTAGTCACACCTAATGGTTCCCAAAGATCTAACTCAGGTAGTCGCACTAGTGGCAAAAACCTTTCCCCATTCAGCCACCTTTGCTAAGAGACTACTGATGTGTAACCCAATCTGGCCTCAAATTTGCTTTTGTAGTCCCAAGGCTCACTTTGAATTCTGGATCCTCTTGCCTCAGCCTGCTAGGACTACAAGTGTGCACCACTGTGCCTAGCATAGTCTCTCTTGAAGAAACCTACACAGTTACTATAAGAGGTATTGTGTCCCTTCCCAATCCTGTGATATAAAGGCTAACTCTTCACTCTCCCAATTCCCAATTTCTCCTTTGGTAGGCAGAGGTAGGATGCAAAGTTAGGAGAGATCACTGAGTGGATTTGAATTTGCCTCGACTAGTTTTATATCAACTTGACACAAGCTAGAGTTATGTGAAAGGAAGGAATTTCAATTGAGAATGCCTCCATTAGATCTGGCTGTAGGGCTTTTTCTTTAAATTTTATTTTTAAAAATTTATTTTGGTGGCTGGAGAGATGGCTCAGAGGTTAAGAGCACTGGCTGCTCTTCCAGAAGTCCTGAGTTCAATCCCCAGCAACCACATGGTAGCTCACAACCATCTATAATAAGATCTGGTACCCTCTTCTGGCCTGTAGGCATACATGTAGACAGAACACTGTATACATGACAAATAAAATAAATCTTTAAGAAAAAGAAAAAAAAAGCATTTTATTTAAAAAAAATTATTTTGGGGACTGGAGAGATGGCTCCGTCGTTAAGAGCACTGGCTGCTCTTCTAGAGGTCTTGAGTTCAATTCCCAGCAACCACATGATGGCTCACAACCATCTATAATGAGATCTGGTGCCCTCTTCTGTCTTGCAGGAATATATGCCAGAACACTGCATACATAATAAATGAATCTTTAAAAAATTATTTTTTATTTTATATACCAACCCCAGTTCCCTCTCCCTCCCTTTCTCCCACCCCCCACTCATACCTCATAGAGAGGGTAAGGGTAAGGCATTTTCTTAATGATTGATGGTGAAAGGCCCAGCCCATTGTGAGTGGTAGTCCTGGGTTCTATAAGAAAGCAGCTGAGCAAGCCATGAGAAAGTAAGTCAATAAACAGCACCCCTCTATGGCGTCTGCATTAGTTCCTGTGGTTCCCGCCCTGTTTGAATTCTTGCCTTGGCTTCCCTCAGTGATGGACTGTCACCTGGAAGTATAAGCGGAAATAAACCCTTCCCTCCTCAAGTCGCCTTGATCATGGTGTTTCATCACAGCAACAGAAACCCTAGGTAAAACAGTAAAGTCAAGTGAAAAGAGATAGAGTCAAAACTGGAAAGATTGAAGCCGGGCGTTGGTGGCACATGCCTTTAATCCCAGCACTCGGGAGGCAGAAGCAGGCGGATCTCTGTGAGTTCAAGACCAGCCTGGTCTACAAGAGCTAGTTCCAGGACAGCCTCCAAAGCCACAGAGAAACCCTGTCTCGAAAAACAAAACCAAAAAAAAACAAAAAAAAAAACAAAAAAAACAAACAAAAAAACAAAAAAACTGGAAAGATAGATACGCTTGCCTTTTTGTTTTGTTTTGTTTTGTTTTGTTTTTGTTTTAGGCTACCACAGAACCAGAATTTCCTGCCAGTCGGCTTGCTCTGCAAAATTTTGACATGTCCTACGGTATACAATTTGGGGATCTTTGGCCATCAATTCGTGTTAGTCTTCTCTCAGAGCAGAAGTATGGTGCATTGGTCAATAATTTTGCTGCTTGGGATAATGTGAGTGCTAAGCTGGAACAGCTGAGTGCCAAGGACTTTGTGAATGAAGCCATCTCTCGCCAGAAACTGGAGCCTGAGAGTGACCTTTCTCCAACTCCATCCCCGGACTGCAGTCCAAACCTCCGATGCTTCACTTTTTCCAGAGGGGATGTCAGGCGCTTCCCTCCTGCTAGGTAGGATCTGGAACCATGAGGGTCATCCTCAGTCCCTGCTAGCAGTGGACATGAAAAGTTGCTCAGCTACTGCCCACTGTAATAAAAATCGGAATTGTTAGTTTCTCTGCTGTGCTTCAACAGACTAGGTGTCTAAGTGCTGTCTACACACCATCTCTTTTGGTTCTGTTAATACCCTTATGGAAATATCTGCCCTCTTTTATAATTGAGGTACAAAGAGAGTAAGTGGTGTAGCTGGTATTCAGACCCAGGTGGTCTGAGCCCCAGAACCGGCACTGGGAACCTGTTCTGACATACTGTCTTCTGTGGAAAACATCTGCCTTTCACAAGAGCAACCCACTGTATCCTTCCCAGTGAAAATGCACCCTCCTCACTGTGTGTCCCGCCAGGCCCCTGTGAAAGTAAGACCAGAGGATGTGGACTTGGTAGGAAATAGGGGTTGCCTAGGAATGCATGTAACAGATTTGAAGAAAGACAGAACTTCCAGTGTCTTGAGGAGGTGCTTATGTGTGTGAAATGCAGTGAGAAAAGACTGCACAGTCAAGAATAGGAAGCCGGGCATGCCGTACAAGCCGGTAATGCCAGCACTTGTTATCGTAAAGCATGAGGATGGTGGGGTAGAGGCTAGATGTGCTACACAGTAAGACTCAGTTTCCAAACAAAACAAAACTGTAGGGCAGGAGGTTCAGGAGTTTGAAGTTGTTACTATCCAAAATAACAAAAAAACTAAAAAAATCCTGTCTGTAATAGCAGATACATTTTCTTTTGCTGAGTTTTGGAATCCAGAGCCTGTCATACTAGGCAAGCACTCTACTATTGGGCTACTATAGGTACTCTTATTTCAGATGGAAAAACCTAGGTACAGAGAAATAACTTACTAAAAGTTACACAACTAATGAGAAGTGGTCTAGGTTTGAGACCCAGAAAGTCTGGCTGACTAGTGTAGATTTAACTGTCCTGTAGGATCGTGACAAGAAGTGAAATTTGGCATACTAAAACATCTAACACAGAGCCTATAGTACAGCATTCATCAATAACCTCTCACAGCCAGGTGCAGTGGTACGCACCTGTGAGCACAGCACTTGGGAGATAGAGGCAAGAAGATCAGGAGTTTAAGATCATACTTAGCTGCATACGGAGTTCAAGGCCAGCCTGGGAACTCCATATGAGAGCCAGTCTCAAAAATAAATAAATATTTAAAAAAAAAAAAAAAGAAGAAAGACTTATCTCAGTATGTACTGGGATAGATTGGATGAAGATTGGCAATCAGTCCTGAGGCATTGGCTGTCCACAGAGCCATGGAGTAAAAACCATGTGATCTAAGGTGTTTGAGGCACTTGGTACCCATTACAGAGCTTCTTAGAGAAGAGAGAGAGTAGTGTGGCAGATTTTGGAGATGGTTTGTCCTTTCATCATAGTCTCTTACCAACCCCTTTTCCCCTTGGGCTTCCTATGACCCCCTCATTCCTTACCCCATTGGGCTTCCTATGAAATCAGATGGGTCTTACTCTCTCAGCAGTCCAGGGAGGTTCTGTCAATTTATGGATAGCCAGATAATATCTGTGACAGTTTGTGTCCCCCCCCCCTTTTTTTTTTAAATAGAAGCATTGTAGTTTTTAGCAGATTCCCCAAACTGAACCAGCTTAAGGAGGGAGAGTAGGAAGAGACTTGCTGAGGGTAGCTTTTATGGGCTGTATGTTTGCAATTCTGTGCCTTTCTCACATTTTTCAGTCCTCTTGTTAATTTTCTTTGTGAGACATGAGGTACAGAAAACCCAAGTGTGATTTGATTTTGAAACGGTCCTATGGAAGCCTGAGCCTCTTTGTGAAGACTTGGGGGTGCTGTAACTTGGGGCCTGGGGATTATCATGGCTGACTGGCAATGGTACTGTGCCATGCCTCACTGCACCCTTCTAGGGTCATTGTCTTGTTAGGTTTCTGTGTCTTTGAGTCTGTTCCAAGGCTGCCCTGCTGACCTCCATCTTAGGAAGGGAAGTGGCTGCTCACCACCAACTAAGTGTCCTCATGGTGACAGGTCTGTGTGTCAGAAAGTCCTGTGACAGGCTGCACTTGGTTCCCCCCCCCTTCTACCCACACCATCACTGCTTACCTGGCTTTCTAAAACCCCAAACTAGCTAACCAGGTGATTACTTCCTGTAGGTTATAGTCCAAGATCCTTAATATAGGATTTAAGACTTTTTGTTTGTCTTGCTTTTCAACCCCCATCTTGGGCTTTTTTTTTCCTTCTTCCTGCCACTAAGTATTAAACCTAAGGCTTTATACTAGATAGGCATTCTACCACTGAGAATGTAGGCATGTCCCCATTATGCTTTTAAATATTTTATTTATCTTCTTTTTTATGTGTAAGTGTATGTCCTATTGTGTGCAGGCTCCTGCAGAGCAGAAGTGCATGTCGGATCCCCTAGAATTGGAAAAGGTTGTGAGTTGCCATGTGGGTGCTAGGAGTTGAACTTGGGTTCTCTGGAAGAACAGCCAGTGCTGAGCTGTTTCTCCAGTCCTTCCCACTAAGTCTTAAAGAAGCTCTTGAGTTTTTATGTTTTTGTATCTTACTCATTCTTTTTTGCCTAGAATGTTCTTCCCTTTTTACCCAGTGAAGGCCTCTGAGTCCTCATCAGGCCCAACTCAGGTAGTTCCAGTACATATAATTAATAACAGTCCTCCTTTCTGAACCAGTGAAGAACTTTGTATCTTCATGTGTAACCCAATAAAATTGAGTTTCTACTATGTACCAAGCACTGTATTGTTTCAAGTCTTGGGAATAGTACATGGAACAAAGCAGGCAAAATCGTTGCCCTCCCAGAGCTACATTCTAATATCGGAAAATAAAAGAAACACACATACTAATATACAATTGTACATTTAAAGTGAAGAACAAGTGCTTTAAAGAAAAATAGTGACAGCCGGGCATTAGTGGCGCACGCCTTTAGTTCCAGCACTCGGGAGGCAGAGGCAGGTGGATCTCTGAGTTCGAGACCAGCCTGGTCTACAAGAGCTAGTCCCAGGACAGCCTCCAAAGCCACAGAGAAACCCTGTCTGGAACCCCCCCCCCAATAAAAAAGAAAAGAAAAATAGTGCAGCTGGAGATAGAAAGTGATGGGAATGATGCTGTTATTTTAGGTAGACTAGTCAGGGAATGCCAGTGGCTCAGAGATCACTTTGAGGCAATGCCTGATCGAAGTAACGAAGCACATCAGGGATAATTAAAAGAAGAGTAGTATGGGCAGAAGGCATAGTAACTGAAAGGCCTGAGATAGGAGCATGTGTGGCTCAATGAAAAAAAGCAAGGTGGCTGGTGAGGCCAGTTTGCAGTCAATTGATCTGTTTTCAGAAGGATCACTCAGGGATGGGGATGTAGCTTAGTTGGTAGAATGCTTACCAAGCATGCATAGAACCCCGAGTTTCGTCTACATTGCATAAGCCAGGCGTGGTAGCACAAACCTGTAATTCCACAGTTCATCGGTTCTGAAGTTCAGTGTCATTCTCAGCTTCATAGCAAGCTTGAGGCCAGCCTGGGATACACGAGACCTTGATCTTTTTTCTTAAAAAAAAAAAAAAAAATCACTGTGAATATTATATAGATCAATGAATGAGTAGTGGATACTGTATAGGTGAATGAATGTCTGAGAAATAATTTTGCTGGTTGGAGCTCACTGACCCTAAAAGGCATGGACTTGCTCACCTTGGCTCCCAGTAAGTATGATGGCCTTCTCTCTTCCAGACTTGGCAGCCTAGGTCTCATGGATTACTACCTGATGGATGCTGCCTCCTTGCTACCTGTCCTGGCTCTTGGTCTGCAGCCTGGAGACACCGTGCTTGACCTGTGTGCAGCTCCTGGGGGAAAAACACTGGCATTACTTCAAACTGGCTGTTGCCGTAAGTCAGTGGGATGATATCTTAGGCAGGGAGGGATCCCCCACTTCACCCCAGTCAGGGTACACTGAATATGATAAGCTTTCTGGTCCCAGGGTTAGAAGGATAATATTTGCTAAGATTATTGTCTGTTGGCTGGCCGGGCGGTGGTGGTGCATGCCTTTAATCCCAGCACTTGGGAGGCAGGTGAAGCCAGTGAGTTCCAAAACAGACTGTAGGAAAATGGCTGATCAAGGCTTCTGTGGGCAGATTAAATCAATGCTCTGATAAATTTATCACATGACCCTCTCTCCCTTTTGCTTTTGCTGATTTGTCTCTAAGATAAAGTCTCATTTCTTTGTACTCCTTCCAACACACCCTACTGCCTTTGCTCTTGTTATGCTCTCTAGAATTCCTCCACCCCACCCCAGCTGTGTCGTCTAAATCCTTTTCGAGTCCAAGCCTCAGGTCAACTGTACTACCTCCAGGAAGTCTTCTCTCCTAGCTGCTGCTGGCTTGTCCATACGGTTCCTTTTCCTGTGCACCCGTGCCATAACGTCACCCAATAGATATGTATCTTCTCCCTACTCAAGATTGTGAATTCCTTTAGTCCTGGCACTAAGGAGGCAGAGGCAGGTGGATCTATGTGAGTTTGAGGCCAGCCTGGTCTACAGAGCGAGTTCCAGGACATCCAAAGCTGTTACACAGAGAAACCCTGTCTCCAAAAAACAAAGTTATGGATTCCTTAGGAACAGGCTGAATGAAGCCTTATGTGTTTCAGAATCACAGGTGACCCTGGCATTTATAAGTGCTCCCTTTAGCAAACCACCTGCCAACATCCTGCCTTAAAGTAGAAGTTACCTTTTCCCTTAGGCCTGAGACAGCCACAAGATGTGTTCACATCTGACCCAGAGCTTAGCCAGGCTTCTCCTGCCATGGGCCTTTCTGTTAGGTGTGAACTCTTTGTTGTTGTTACTCCGAAGCTGGCTTGCACAGTTTGAGTTAGCCTCTAGCCTCTTGGTAGGCCCATGAGTGATTTACTTTCATCCTTCTGGAAATTCAAATAGAAAGGTTGAAAAAGAAAAGATGTTGGCACAGGTTTAACAAGTGAATCCAGTGCAAGAGCGCCATGCCAGGTGTTGTGCTGATTTGAATGCTGTGAGACTCTGTCAGAAGGAAGAGAGAAACAGGCAAAGGAGAAATGCTTCCAAGGTATACTAAATCAGCAGCACCTTTTCTTCATCCCAGGTGTAAGGTTTCAGGCATCACCTGGCAGAATGCACTCAGGCAGTACCTTGGTCAGCCCAGGAGCACCCTGGTCATTCCAGGAGCAAAGGACCCCTTTAAAAGAAAGACCCCCCGCCCACTTAAGCTGTCTTTCTGGCTCCTCTCTTTCCAGCTCTTTCTGCTCTCTCTTTCCCATTGTCTTTCCCGCTGTTTCCCTGGGGCAGACAGAACTTTTCCTGTCTCCCTCTTCTCTTCTGTCCTCTCTCTATGTCTCTTTACCTCTTTTCTCTTTCCTTTACCCATTCCCTCCCCTTTCTAATAAAGCCTCTCACTTAAGCTCTGTCTGCCTGGCATGTTTGTCCCCACCTGGGTCAACCTCGCCTGCCATGGAATCCGCCAAGGCCCCTCTCAAGCTTTATCATAACACCAGGTACTCGCCCAAGTCACTGACTTCTTGACCCTAGAACATAGATAGGGTCACAGTATCAGAGCAAGCATGGAACTCAGATTTACTTTGTCAGCCCTCTTGTTTATGCAGGGCAAACTGAGTTCTGGAGGGATCGTGAAATGTAAATCTTAGAAACGTTGGACACAGCAGCAGAACTGGAAGCCATCTTTCTTTTCTCACTTTTGTTGCCTCCTGAGAATTCCTTCAGAACAGAGTATCTGATTATTATTATTATTATTATTATTATTTTTTATGTTAAGTGCCCTCAAAAATTGGGACGTTTCTCATGGGGACACAAAACCTCCTAGTAGAAACCTGCAGCTCTTCATTACAGTTCCCACTTGTTTCTCCTTGTTCTGAGGCTGATTGTCAATTGCCGTTTCATCAAGCCTTTTATTTTTTGTTATTTTTATAAAGATTTTATTTATTTATTTATTATGTATACAACATTCTGCTTCCATGTATATCTGCACACCAGAAGAGGGCACCAGATCTCATAAGGGATGGTTGTAAGCCACCATGTGGTTGCTGGGAATTGAACTCAGGACCTCTGGAAGAGCAGTCGGTGCTCTTAACCTCTGAGCCATCTCTCCAGCCCGCCTTTTGGTTTTTTATTTAAACACAGGATCCTATTTTTTGCCCTGACTTCAAGCTCTCAATCCTCTTCCCCACAGCCTTCCAGGTGCTAGCATTACAGGCATGTGCCACGGGGCCTGCCTTAATATCAATCTTACAGGAACATTTTTCATAAAATAGAACTAACAGCAACCTGATATTTGTTTTTTTTTTTTTTTTTTTTTTTTTTTTTTTTTTTTTGTGTGTGTGTGTGTGTGTGTATGTGTTTTCTGCATCATGAGTGCTGGGATTAAAGGCATGCACCACCAACGCCTGGCAGTCATCAAGGACTTAAAGTGGGGTTTTTTGTTTGTTTGTTTGTTTTTTAGGATTAATTTATTATGTATACAGTGTTCTGCCTGCATATATGCCTGCAGGTCAGAAGAGGGCAACAGATCTCTTTACAGAGGGTTGTGAGCCACCATGTGGTTGCTTGGAATTGAACAAAAAGAGCCAGTGCTCTTAACCGCTGAGCCATCTCTCCAGCCCCCAGCTGTTTTTATTTTTGCACCTTTAGCATAGGCATCTTGTTTGTTTGTTGTCTTTGAGGCAGGGTTTCTCTTTGTAGCCCTGGCTGTCCTAGAACTCACATTATAGACCAGGCTAGCCTCAAACTCAGATCTGTCTGTCTCTGCCTCCCAAGTGCTGGGATTAAAGGTATGTGCCAATACTGCCTAGCTTATAGGCATCATTCTTAGGATCAGAATTATGCTACAAGGTAGCTGCTAGAACATCAGCCAGCCCATTTCAATTTGAGGCAGAAGGAAATGGTTGTGTTAGTCTTTTAGATACATCTTCCCAGAGGTCCCAAGTGATATTTATGTCTATAATTCACTAACCAAACCTAGTGATTTAGTCACACTTAGTTGTAAAAGAAAGCTACAAGATGTACTATGCTGGTGCACATTGCTCTCTGTTGATAAAGTTGGGGTTCTGTTATTAAGGAATAAGATGATAATAGTAAATCCTAGGTGACCTAAAGTGTCTACTGAAACCCAAGAGAGACATACTGTCGTGGTTTTTTGTTTGTTTGTTTGTTTGTTTTTCACCTTGACACAGCTAGAGTTATCTGAGATGAGGAACCTCAGTTGAGATAAGGTCTCCATCAGATTGCTTGGAGGCTGAGGAGGTGGCTTAGCAATTAGGAATTAATTGTTGATATGGGAGGGCCCAGCCCACGTGGGTACTACCCCTGTACAGGTGGTCCTGGGGTATAGAAGAAAGCAAACTGAGGAGGCAGATAAGCAGTTCCTACATGGTCCCTGCTTCAGTTTCTGCCCCCAGGTTAATGACTTGACTTCCTACCCTGACTTTTCTCCATGATGGACTATAAACTGTAAGCTGAAATAAACCCTTTCCTCTCCAAGTTGCTTTTGGTGGTGGTGTTTTTATCACAGCAATGGATACCTAAGACACAAATGTTTCGAAGAGATTGGGTAGCTAGGCACAGTGACATACACATGTAGTCCCAGCTACTCAGGAAGCTGAAATAGATTTTCTTGAGAAGTTTGAGGACAGTTTGGCAACATAGCAATAACCTGTGTCAAAAGCAAACAATAAATTGGCATGGCTAGTGTATGCCTGTAAACCTAGCATGGAGGCAGGATGACCACAAGTTCACTGCCAGTTTAGGCTTCAGAATAAGAGGTGGTTAGTGGGAGAGACCATATTTCTTTAGAAATACTTTTTGATGTTTTTTCAAGACAGGGTTTCTGTGTGTAGCGTTGGAACCTGCCCTGGCACTTGCTCTGTAAACTGGGCTGGCCTTGAACTCGCTGAGATCTGCCTGCCTCTGTCTCCCAACTCCTGGGATTAAAGGCGTGCGCCACTGATGCCCGACAGAAATACTCTTTCTTGATCTGCTTTGTTTGTTTACTTTTATTTTGGTAGCTATTTGTCCTCACAACCTCCACTCCAGAGGGACTGATTTGGTACCACATATATAATACCCCTGTCTCTGGGGTCTGGGTTGATTGACTATGCCTGAGAATTGGCTTCGTCTTCCAGCGACACCTTTTGTTTGTGTGATATGCCATTGAGTTGTAGCTTCTGAAGATTCTTTTATTTCCCCACAGGCAATCTAGCTGCCAACGATCTCTCCACTTCCCGAATAGGCAGACTGCAAAAGGTCCTTCACAGTTATGTGCCTCAAGATATCAGGGAAGGGAACCAAGTTCGAGTTACCTCATGGGATGGCAGGAAGTGGGGAGAACTGGAGGGGGACACCTATGACCGAGTAAGTGATTTCTGACCTCCGTGTTCTGGCCTCAGGTCCTAGGGGTAGGATCCAGCCCTCTGTGTTTTGAATGTGTGGGGATGTTTTTTGACCTAGACAGTTCTCCATGAATGATTTGGAGAAAGAGCTATTTGCAGAGCTCTCAGTTCAGCTTAGATGACTTGCTACTGTTTTCATTAGAGATAGTTGGCAGCAAAAAGAATTTGAACTTAACTGAGTGTGAAAAAAGTTATTAGGCACATTTTATTTCTGAAGTCACTAGGGTGCTTGGAAGCCTTCATGAAGATGAGTATGAATGAGAACATTTTATTTATTTCTGAATATTAATATAGCACATAGTATAAAATTTAGTAGGTATAAAAGGGTATCAGGTAGAAATAACCTTTCTTTTTAGACCTGTACACAGCCATTTACTTCCTCTTCCTGCAGATATCATTTTTCTATAGCTTTTATATAATTTGTATATAAAAATATAAACTTAGGAGTTTCTTAAAAATAGAAATGACAGTACGATGTTTTCATACTGACATCTATGACTTTTTAATGAATTAAAATATCCTCAGGTCCAGTCCTTCTCAGTTCTATCCTTCTGAAGTAAATTTGCTGGTTAATGGTTTCTACTAGTTAAGATTTTGACAGAGTTTGAGAAATTCTCTAGAGGTTCCTCCAGTGCCTCCATCGGCAATGAGCTTATTTTCTATATATCCTGTCGGTATTGCTACTGTCCAAATGCTGTTATCAAACTTACAGTGTCTTTCACATTCTCCTGCTGTGTATGTTATTCATCCTCCCCATTTTATTTTTTGGTTTTTGAGACAGGGTTTCTCTGTGTAGCTTTGGCTGTCCTGTAACTTGCTCTGTAGACCAAGCTGGCCTACAGAGATCCACCTGCCTCTGCCTGCCAGGTGCTGAGATTAAAGGTGTGTGCCACTTACCCCCAGCTTCCAAACTCTTTTAATATTTTAAAGTTGTTTCCCTTTTTAAAAACATTCTTCTAGATTTATTTTTGTGTGTATGAATGTTTAGCCTTTTTTAAAGCCTATTTTTTTAAAGATTTTATTTATTTATTTATTATGTATACAACATTCTGCTTCCATGTGTATTTGCACACCAGAAGAGGGCAGCAGATCTCATTACAGATGGTTGTGAGCCACCATGTGGTTGCTGGGAGTTGAACTCAGGACCTCTGGAAGAGCAGTTGGTGCTCTTAACCTCTGAACCATCTCTCCAGCCCTTTAAAGCCTTTTTTTTTTTTTTTTTTCCCGAGACAGGGTTTCTCTGTGGCTTTGGAGGCTGTCCTGGAACTAGCTCTTGTAGACCAGGCTGGTCTCGAACTCACAGAGATCCGCCTGCCTCTGCCTCCCCAGTGCTGGGATTAAAGGCGTGTGCCACCAATGCCCGGCTAAAGCCTATTTTTAAAAATAATTTATTTTTATATGCATTGGTATGAATGTGTTAGATCCCTGGAACCAGAGTTACAGTTTTAAACTGCCATGTGGGTGCTAGGATTTGAACCCAGGTCCTCTGGAAGAGCAGTCAGTGTTCTTAACCACTGAGCCACCTCTCCAGCTCCAAGTGTTTAACCTTCATGTATGTGTACATGTATGTGTACATGTGTGTCTGTTACCCTCAGAGGTCAGATGAGGGAGTCAGATTCCCTGGCATTGGAGTTACAGACAGTTGTGAACCATCATGTGGGTGCTGGGAATTGAACCTGGGTTCTCTACAAAAGCAACAAGTGCTCTTGACCACTGAGCCCCTACTTATCTTCTTTTAATTAGCATACTCTAAAATCACTTATTTAAAATGTGATTTATGGTCCCTGTATATTGTACACATGAATAAAATGGACAAAGAATATAGCCAGGCAGTGATGGTACACACCTTTAATCCCAGCACTCAGGAGGTAAAGGCAGGTGGATCTCTGAGTTTGAGGCCAGCCTGGTCTACAGAGTGAGTTCCAGTACAGCCAAGGCTACAAAGACAAAACTTGTCTTGAAAAACAGCAACAACAACACAAATGGCATATGGGTAAAAGCTAGCATTCTGGAATCAGGCTGTTGGTTTGAAGTATTGGGTTCATGACTTTCGAGCTGGAAATTTTTTTCTTTTGTAAAAAGATTTTATTTATTTATTATGTATAGAACATTCTGCTTCCATGTATATCTGCACACCAGAAGAGAGCACCAGATCTCATGGTTGTGAGCAACCATGTGGTTGCTGGGAATTAAACTCAGGACCTCTGGAAGAGCAGCTGGTGCTCTTAACCTCTGAGCCATCTCTCCAGCCCTTGAGCTGGAAATTTTTGTGAGTTACTTAAACTTTCATTTGTGCTTTAACTTCTTCAGTGTGGTTCATTGTACTGCCTGTCCCATGGGTGACTGACTAAGAATGCCTTTGCACAGTGTCCGACTACAGTATGTGTTCAACATTACTGTCATTGCCCCATTTCTCATCATTTTAGGTTGGCTGATTCTATCTATATAGCAATATAGAATGAATTCCCTCCCATTTTACTTGTCAGTGCTTCGGGCATTTGAAACAGCTTTGGTGCTTGATGATATCTCCATTAATATATTTGTTGAAGAAATAGTAGTGTTCAGTTTGCTGCATGCTAAGGAAGTGTTAAACACTTTAGATTCAAAGAAGACTTGGTAGGTAACACCACTCTTCCTCATTTTGCATTCACACAACAATTGGAGTCTAGCACCTTGTATGTTCATAGCAGGGCAGTCACCCTTACCTGGCATTCCACATGTTCTTGCTTTCTTTCTTCCTCCCTCCCTCTTTTCCTCCCTCCCTCCCTTTTTCCCTCCCTCTTTCCCTCCTTCCTTCCCTCCCTCCCCCCTCCCTCCTTCTCTCTCTCCTTTCCAAAGTCAAAGTTTTTTTTCAAATAATTAAATGTTTATCTGAACATAAATCATAAACACACTGGAGGCCAAGATTCAAGTAGCAAACCATCCTGGCATATGGCTGCTGATCACACGTTGGATGAAGCCTAATGTGGAGATGCCTGTGCCATGTCTGATATTGACTAGCTTTGCCTTTTCCAAATGTTTGGTGTAACAGTACAACTTCTATCCCCTTATCCTTTTGACTGGATAAGACCAACAGCTTTCACAGTTGACATTAATAAGCAATATCCAGGATATATTGGTACCAAAGTAAAGATATATTTGTCACTGATTTTCTAGTCTCGATGAAATCACATGTGCATAAGGACTCAGGACCCCAACATCCATGAGTGTCCTGTAGTGATTCTCCAGAGTCCAGCCAACTTTTGGAGATAGTAAGAATTTCTACAACTTTCTCTCTTCCCTGTTCCCCCTACCCTACTTTCTTTTTAGACAGTTTCAGGAAGCCTAGGCTGACGTCAGACTAGCTGCTAATGTAGGAAAGGATGACCTTGAACTTCCCATCCTCCTGCCTCTACCTCCTATTGCTGGGATTACAAGTGGGTGCTACCATGCCCTGTTCATTTTTCTTACTCTGTATGTACTGTATTAGTTTTTTTCAAGATAGGGTTTTTCATAGGTATACCTGTAGCCATAGGTATCCTGGAACTCATTCTGTAGATCATGCTGGCCTAGAACTCAGAGATCCATTTGCCTCTGCCTCCCGAGTGCTGGGATTAAAGGCCATGCACCACCAATGCCTGGTTAAAAACTGGTTTATTTCTAATTTACTTCATGTCTACTTTGTTAAAAGAAAAAAACCTTTCCAAAGATGATTTTACCCTTTTCAGGGATTTTAAAACATTTTGTTTTTTGAGACAGGGTTTCTCTATGTAGCTTTAGAGCCTGTCCTGGAACTCACTCTGTAGACCCGGCTAGCCTTGAACTCACAGAGATCTGCCTGCCTCCACCTCCCAAGTGCTGGGATTAAAGGCTGTGCCACCATTGCCCAGCTTAAAACTTTTTTTTTTTAAATTTGTCTCAAGTGCCTAGTATAGAAACGACTAGTAAATTAGTGATTGATTTTCTGTTTCTCACTTTAAAATATTGAAGTAGTGGAAACCAGGTGTGGTGGTGCATACCTGTAATCCTTTGGGAAGCTGAAGCAGGAGAATTGTGAGTTTAAGGTCAGCCTTTGCTATATAGGAAGTTCCAGAAACCAAACTACTGTCCATATCAGATTTCCCTTTTTACAGTATTTTTAAGTGTGTGTGTGTGTGTGTGTGTGTGAGAGAGAGACAGACAGAGACAGAGACAGAGACAGAGAGACAGAGAAAGTGAGTACTGGGGATTGAGCCTAGGGTCTTGTACATCTGACATTGTTTTAAGATAATTTTGAATTCTGATTCTGTTTTATTATGTAATATCTGTAAATTAAATACCGTATCATGTATAAATTGGATGTTTTCAATGAATAGCCACGGACAGAGCCTTGAAGCACTAAGATTTTTTTCCTAGGTTGATATCAGTTATTTCATTGCAATTATTTATAGCCAGCTTTTGTTTTGAAACAGGGTCTCATGAAACCTAGGCTGGCCTCAGACTCACTGTGTAAGCTGAGGCTGGCTATGACCCTGATTCTCCTGCCTTTGTCTCTGAAGCACTGGAATGATATGTGTGTACTAGCGTGTATAGATTTTCATTTTGTTTTGCTTTTGGAGACAGTGTCTTACTCTGAACCCCTGGCTGGCCTGGAAAACTGTAGAGACCAGGTTACCTTCAAACTTGTAGCAATCCTCTTACCTCTGCTTCTCAAAGACTGGAATTACAGGCATGTACCACCATGCCTGGCTTGGTTTGGCTTTTTGATTAACCATGAGTGTTTCTAAATATACTATATTTCTACTTCTTATTTCACAGTTGTCTATCAGGTTAAAATGAGAATCTTTGTCAGGTACTCTGCAATGATGGAATGGATAGACTAGCATTTCCATTGACCTTGGTTGGCTTGGGGCCTAAACTGCTCAGACATAAGTCAGAATAGCCTAGAAGGACCTTTAATGCTTTGTCTTTCAATTCTCTGGGTAGGTGTTGGTGGATGTGCCGTGTACCACAGACCGCCACTCCCTTCATGAGGAAGAGAACAACATCTTCCAGCGGTCAAGGAAGAAGGAGCGACAGATGTTGCCTATGCTGCAGGTGCAGCTTCTCGCGTGAGTGATACAGTTATAAAGATTCTCAGACGTTAGAATCTCAGCTGGGGAACTGGAAGCATGCCAAGACCATCACATGGAAGAAACTTTTGGCTGGAGGTTTCCCTGGAGGTGATAGCCTTCCTGAGATTGTCCTTTCTAGAATAACAACTGCGGGCTAGAGAGATGAGTCAGCCATTAAAGGCCAGACTCACAACCAAAAATATAGAATAATAACTGCACCCTCACCATTTTACCGTCAGTGCCAGTGACTTGCACATTTTTGAGAAGCAGATTCTGTCAGGTATGGTGGTATATATCTGTATCTCTGGCTATTTGGGAAGCTGAGGCAGAAGGATAGCTTGACCTAAGAGTCTGGGTCATCCTAGGTGCTAACCTGGGCAACATAGTGTCATCCTATCTCAGAAAAAGAAAGAATCTGGAGAGATGGCACAGCAGTTTAGAGTACTGTCTGCTCTTGTAAAGTAATCAGGTTTGGTTCCCAGCACCCACATGGTGGCTCAAAACCATCTGTAACTCTACTAGCAGGGGATTCAATGCCTATTCTGACCTCCATCGGCTCCTGCACACATATAGTACATATCCATACATTCAGGGCACCCACATACACATAAAATAAGTAATAAGTTTTGTTTTTTTTTTTAAAGAAAAGAACTATTACATTTATTTTAAAGAAGAGAGAAGTGTCAAGCGGTGGTGGTACATGCCTTTAATACCAACACTCAGGAGGCAGAGGCAGGCAGATATCTGTGAGTTTGAGGCCAATCTAGTCTACAGAGTGAATTCCAGGACATCCAGGGCATTACACAGCAAAAACCTCTCTCACAAAACCAAAAGATAGAGAGCGAGAGAAACCAGGCATGGCACACACTTTTAAATCCCAGCACACCCAGGAGGCAGAGGCAAGGGATCTCTATGGGTTTGGGGTTAGCCTGGTCTACAGAGTGAGTTCCAAGTCAGCCAAAGCTACACAGTGAGACCTTGAAAAAAAAATACATACATACATATATAAAGATAAAGGAGAAAAAGAAAGGAAGGGGAATAAAAGGAAGGGGGGGGTCAAGGGTCTGTATGACTGAGGAGAGAATTCAACTGATAGCCAGCTTCAGGGTTTAGTTCACAACCAGAACCAGGCGTTTAGTTCACAACCAGACCCAGGCTTCAAAAAATTTTTTTTTTTTTTTTTTTTTTTTTTTTCTTATTTACTTGGTTTTGTTTGACACAGAGTTTCTCTATATAACAGTCCTGGCTGTCCACCACTGCAGGGCTAGGATCATTTTTTTTTTTAGGCCAATGCATGTGTGTCTTCATGTAGGTGCTGTCCACGTAAGTATAGGTGCCCATGCAGGTCAAAGATCTTGGATCCCCCTGCCCTAGGTTTGGAGTTACAGAAAATTGTGGCGTGGATGTTGGGACCTCCACAAGAGTTCTATGTGTTTTGGTTTGTTGAGACAGGATTTCTCTATTGCTTTGGAGCCTGTCCTGGAGCTCACTCTGTAGACCAGGCTGGCCTCCAACTCACAGAGCCCCCCCTGCCTCTGCCTCCCAAGTGTTGGGATTAAAGGCGTGCGCCACCAACGCCTGGTGCAGTATGTGCTCTTAACTGCTGAACCATCTCTCCAGCCCCATCAAAGGATTCTTCCATGGAGGCTTCCTAGAGCTGGGTATGGTGGTACTTCTCCATTGGGTAGTAGACTACCCTCCACCTATGTACCTAGTCCTGTGTTGCTGGAACACTTCAAGAAGTATACTAGTTATTGCTTTGTTTTCTTGGTTTCAGGGCTGGACTCCTTGCCACCAAACCTGGAGGTCACGTTGTCTACTCTACTTGCTCTCTGTCACACTTACAGAATGAGTATGTGGTGCAAGGTGCCATTGAGCTTCTGGCCAATCAATATAGCATCAAGGTTCAAGTGGAAGACCTATCTCACTTCCGAAAGCTTTTCATGGACACATTCTGTTTCTTCCCATCCTGCCAGGTTGGGGAGTTGGTAATACCAAACCTCATGGCTAATTTTGGGCCTATGTACTTCTGCAAAATGCATAGGTTGCCATAGTGTCACCGTGTCCCTGAAGTAGGAAGACAATGACTCTGTCGGAGCTATTGAGACAGACCAGTGGCAGAGATGCACTCCAGGGCCTGTCTCCACCCTGTGTGTTTTCTAAAGATAGTTGTAAATAGCAGGGAATAGGACTGCTGCCCAGTTGTGGATTATCAGCAGGTTTCTAACATCAGACCCTCACTTCTATCCTTTAGTCTAAACTAAGGCCCCTGCTGAATTAGGGATCCGGACAGAATCAGTGAATTAAGCCCATGGTTTAAGATGTAAACTTGGGAAGAAACATCTAACCAATAAAGTTGTTGAAGTGCTATAGAGCTGGGCCTTTAGTTGGGGACTTCATGTCAGTCTAATTCCATTATGGTTCTCTGGGTCAGCTGAAGCTGCCGAACACGCTCTCCCAAGTGCCCAACCCAGGCATACAGCCCTCTTCCACTGGTGAGTCCCATTTAATCAGCCCACAGGCCCACCAGCCTCCCCAGTGTCTCCATATGGCACATGATCTAATTTAAGGAATAAGTAACTAAAACTGTTGAGCTGGTGGCTGGTAATCCTCTTACACTGAGAAAGGTTTCCTAAGCTGAATGCTTCTGGGCTTCCTTGAGATGTGACTGCAAAAGCTGCTTCTGGTACATACTGTTTTTGTGTGTTCTTTTAAATCTTTACGTAATAGCAAGTATTCCATGAGTTCCTGTATGACAGCTATGGCATGGATAGGGATATGGTTGGGACTATGGGAATATCTGGGTTTCCTCATCTTCAAAGTAGCAACTTCCTACTTCCTTTTACTTTCCAAGTACCTAGTAATCTCCTGATATTTTATTTCAAATATCTTTTTATTTCTAGTATGTGCCAGCTTCGGCCCATCTCCAAATCCTTCAGAGTTCTTCTAGCATAGCAGGGTTTACTTCACACACAGTGTTTTGGGGTGACATTATATAACATGTTGACCTGCATACTAGTTATTCTGTAACATTTGTCAAAAGAAGGCAGCCTTTAGGGTCAGGGGATAGTAAACATTGCTTATAGTCATGCATGTGCACACACACACACACACACACACACACACACACACACAGACATACACATACGTATCTTATTAATAACTTGGATATTTCTTGACTCTTCCCACTTTCTTTTTTTAAAGATTTATTTATTCTGTATACAGTAGTCTGCCTGAATATGTGCCTTCATGTCAGAAGAGGGCATCAGATCTCATTATAAATAGTTATGAGCCACCGTGTGGTTGCTGGGAAAGGAACTCAGGACCTTTGCAAGAGCAGTCAGTGCTCCTAACCACTAAGCTATCTCTCCAGAGCGCCCCCCCTCCTCCCCACCACCACATTTTTTTTTTTGAGACAGGGATTTTCTGTGTAGCCCTGGCTGTCCTGGAACTTGCTCTGTCTTGAAACTTGCTCTCTAGACCAGGCTGTCCTGGAACTCAGAGATCCACCTGCCTCTGCCTCTGCATGATTAAAGGCGTATGCTACCACCAACCAGCTTGGGCTTTTTGTTTTGTTTTGTTTGGTTGGTTTTGGTTTTTGAAACTTTTTTTTTTTTTTTTTTTTTCGGTTTTTCAAGATGGGGTTTCTCTGTATTGTTTTGGAGCCTGTCCTGGAACTCGCTCTGTAGACCAGGCTAGCCTCGAACTCACAGAGATCTGCCTACCTCCACCTCCCGAGTACTGGGATTAAAGGTGGGCACCACCAACAACCAGCTGAAACTCTTAATATTTTAATGTTATTTCCTTTTTTAAAGAATTCTTTTAGATTTATTAGCTGTCTTCCCACTTTCTTTATCCCTCCTTCACTGCCATTCATTTTGCTTTCCATGCTTTTCCTGTTAATCCTTATTTGGGTGTTAGAAGTGTCTATTGAGAAGGACATGAGCAAAGGTTAAACCACCTCCTTTCTTGAGATTTGTATTATAGCTGAGGCTCCTGAAGACTTCCTAGACTTTAAATCAAGTGAAGCTGGTAAGGTGGCACTCCAAAGAACTTGGCGGATGCCCTGAATAGGACCCTTACCAGCCTTTATTCATGGCATATAATCCCTGCCTGCTCTATACTTACATTGCTGAAGCTGAGAGGCCTCTGCCTGGGTTTCTGCCCACAGGCTCTTGGATATCTACCTGGTGCTAATTGAAGGCTAAGCACCAGGAGGAGAGGGTCTCTCGACCCTTGAGGACAGACAGATTAGGTAAGAAAAACAGAACTACTTCCTTAGGTAGGGTTTGCTAAAAGAACAGAACCAACAATATGTATGTGTAGATGCACATCTATATGCACATATGTGTGTGTGTGTGTGTGTGTGTGTGTGTGTGTGTGTTATAAAAGGGATTTATTGTGTTGGGTAGAGACTGGGTAGAGTTCACCAATAGCTGTCTGCCCACTGAGGAGGCAGAGAACTAGGTTCCCAAGGGTGCCTGAGCAGTCTCGTTCCAACACTGAAGTTTGGAAGCTTCCTGGAAATTTGCTGCTGTTGTCAGTGTTGAGTGACTGAAGAATCAGTCTGAAGTCAATGGGCAGCAGTAGCAGTAGGTGGTATCGTTTGGAGCAGAAAGACTTGCTGGCTGGAGGGTTGCCTTCTCCATACTCACCTTCATCATCTAAGCAGTTTGACCTTTTAAAGGTCCCACTCATAGTCAGGGTGGATCTTTTCCTCCCTGGTCACTGTCCCCTGGGCCAGTCCTCTCTGGAAACATTTTTGTAGACATACAAATATATTTCCCCAGTCCAAGGCATCTCTTAATCTAGTCATATTGACATCTCAGACCAACTATCACAACTACTTTGGAAAACAGTTTGTCTCCTATAATTGAATGTACACAGCCCTCTAACTCAGTTACTACAGTGCTAAGGATCAATTCAAGAGAAACTCAGCAGGAATGCTGGTGTACCTGAGAATGGTATTCATAGCAGTCCTGCTCACAAGCATAAGCCTGGACACAGTTCACGTGTCTCTGAACAAGAAAGGGGATGAATAAACTGGATATTCACACAATGGAACGTATGGTGTAAAATCTACTTATATTACCTTGCAATCCATCAGTGTCATATTTAATATATTTAATAATATAGCTACAATCACCAAGAGATATTTGAAAATAATTCTATCCTTAAAAGTTACCATCTGGCTGGGCAGTGGTGGTACACACCTTTAGTCTCAGCACTCAGGAGGCAGAGGCAGGTGGATCTCTTGAGTTCAAGGCCAGTATGTTCTACAGAGTGAGTTCCAGGATAGCCAGGGCTACACAGAGAAACCCTGTCTTGGGAAGGAAAAAGAAAAAGAAAAAAGGAAAGAGAAAAAAGCTACCTTCTGGTCTTGGCTCTCAATCACTTCTTTTGTTTCTAGTCTCAGAAAACACCTGGTGTGCCTTCTAGCACTGTGGTTGGAAGATAGAGTTGACTTATAACTAGATGTTCTACAAACAGTTCTTTATTTTGGGGGACCACTCAGTTTTTGGTATGTCACATTTGAACAAGATAAGAGCATTAGGATTATTTAAAGTCTAAAGATCCCCTAGTGACCCCAGGATCTTTACTGTGGGTTTGCAACTGGTCTAACTGGTTAGGTGCTTTTGGCTTAATTACATGATCAGGATATCCTAAAACCCTCCTGGGAACTTCTGATTTGAACTTTTCCCAAAGCCAGTCTTCAACCACAGCAAAAATCCTTGATGATGTGGTGCATGCCTGTAATCCTAGAACTTGGCGGATAGAGGCAGGACTATCAGGAGTTCAGGGCCATCCTTAACTCAGTAAATTCCAATCCTGCCTGGGCTGCATGAGACCCTGTCTCAAAGAACCAAACCAAACTAACAGGTCTAGAGCCCAGCCGTGGTGGCACACGCCTTTAATCCCAGCACTTGGGAGGCAGAGTCAGGCGGATCTCTGTGAGTTTGAGGCCAGCCTGGTCTACAGAGTGAGTTCCAGGACAGCCTCCAAAGCCACAGAGAAACCCTGTCTCACTACCCCCCCCCCCAAAAAAAAAAGGAAAAACAAACTACATTAAGCAGTTCATGATGGTATATGCCTTTAATACCAGCACTCAGGAGATAGAGGCAGGCAGAAGTTCAAGGCCAGCCTGGTCTACATAGTAAGACCCTGTTTTACCACCACCACCACCAAAGGAAAAAAAGCTATCAAATTCCCTGGAATCAGAATTATAGGCAGTTGTGAGCTGCTGCCACTCATAAGTGTGAGAATAGGACCCAGGTCCTGTGGCAAAGCAGTTAGTACTATTAACCACTGAACTACTGTTCCAGCCCAGGCTGCCTTTGGATTAGCTACGTAGGATCCTTTACCTCTCTGGTGCTGAGGTTACAGGTATGCATGCAATGCCTGATTCTCCATGTCTGGATCTTCATGTTTCCCCTCACACTTTCAGTTCCTATATCAAGGTCTTTGATCCATTATGAATTGATATGTGTATAGAAGGAGAGAAGGGTCTAGTTTCATTCTATAGATGCGTATCCGTTTTCCCAGACCCATTTTTTGAGGATGCCGTCTTTTATGCGATGTGTATTTTCTAACAGGTCTTTCTTTGGACTGCCAGCTCCCAAACAAATTAACCCATTTATAATAATCTACATTTTGCCATGTGGCTCATTACCTCTGCTCAGTCCAACTTCCTCCAAGTCTGATTGGTGAATCTCCTGAGTCTCTGATTCTTTCCCAGAGTTCCTATCTCTTCCCAAAAGCCCCACCTATCCTCTCCTGCCTAGCTATTAGCCATTCAGCTCTTTATTAAACCAATTAGAAGGTGCCTTAGGAAGGTGAGGTTAAACAGGAACATATCTTCGCACAGTGTCCAAAAGATTATCCCAATGTATTTTTGACAATCTTTATCAAAAATTAGGAAGTTGTGTCAGGCTTAGTGGCTCATGCCTTTAATCCCAGCATTCAGTGGGCCGAGACAGGTGGATCTTTGTGAGTTTGCATACAGCCTGGCCTACACAGTGAGCCTCTGTCTTAAAATCAAAGTAAGTAAATCAGTGACTGGGTCCTAATTTCTATTTCCTAATTTCTGGGTCCTAATTCTATGGATGGAATCAGTGCTTCTACCTGGCTTTGACGGGAAATGAAGCACCACTGCTTGGCAGCTGTCTTGAGATGGCTGAAGGTGATGCTAACACATGTGGAGAAAGGCAAAAACAGGCAGATGGTTGAGATCAGGGTACATTGCCAGTACCCTGATCAAATGCTATGGCCACCCTGATGCTGGGCTTCTTCACTTCAGGAAATTTAGGCTGCCTCTTTGTTTGTTTTTTGAGACATGGTTTCTCTGTGTAGCTTGGCTGTCCTGGAACACACTCT